GTCCTTGCTTATGCTACCTAAGAGAGGATGCAATTAGCTCCAGTGTAGAGTCATTAATAATAGCAGAAGTGCCAAATACCCTGGGTGCACATGTGGGTTTCAAAGTCGTCTGGACGGAAAGTATTTCCTTGGCAGAAGTGAGCTGCAGGGCTGATGGAGTAACTCTACAGGGGGAACAGTGGCATCAGGCAGACACAACCAGACCTAGGCTGGTAAATAGGAAAACACCCCTCTGCAAATGCAGCTGGATAAACCCATTTTGATTGTATTTTCACTGCAGAACACTTTCCCTTGGTCAGGATTTAGCTGAAGCATCCTTCACACTGTGTAAGGAGAAAACACGTACAGTGAAGGCAGCCCAAGAGGGATTTTCTATCCCCAGCGACAGCAGGAGCTGCTCCTGAGCTCAGTGTCTTGATGAGATAATAAGTGGTTTTGGAGAGCAACTTTAATTAAGCTTCCTCTGAATGTCCCGGCTCCTTAATTAAATAACAATTTGCAGCGCTTGCACGTCTGTGGCTTTTGATAGGCACCCTTCTCCTCTGCCTGAAGCAGTCTATGCCTGCGGGCACCGAGGTGGCATGTGGTGTGACAGCCCTGTCCCAGCTCCCGGAGAAGATGCATCATCAGGAGCAATGCAGCTGGGGAAGGGAGCAACCAGGGGTTTGTTCAGCTGAAGCCCTCTGAGGAGGATTTAGGCAACAGCATATTAAAGATCTTCGACGTCGGTGGGTCTGGCCCTGCTCGGGGCTGGCTGCCTTGTGCAGGGAATTGGGACACTGGAGTGTTTCGCTGAGGTTTGGAGCCATGACAGGCTGCCCAAACACCCCTGACCTCAAATAAAGTTGCCATTTAGTTGGGCTTCTGCTTTTTATTTCCTTGTATTTGACCTGAAGGATGCCGCTGCTTGTTTTGCAGTGGGTTGCGGCTGCCTGGAAAGGAAAACCTGAAATGAGATTTTTTTTTTTTTTTTTTGAGAAAAAAGCATATAAACCCTCCTGCTTGTCTTAGTACCTTGGATTGAGTGACAAGTGCAACAGCACATTGGGATGCAGCTGAAGCCTGAGCTAACGCGCCGTGCCGAACCGCAGCGACAGCCGGTGTGCTGCTGAGCTGGCCGTGTGCCGGGATGAAGGGCGCTCCTCCAGCCATGGATAGCTGCGCCCCGTCTCTGCCGTGGGTCTCGTGTGGGGAGGTAAGAGAAGCAGCAGGGGATGGTTATCCCGGGGACACCCCCATACGCACCGCCGCAGCCTCCCTCTGCGCTTTGCAAAGCAGAGCGCTCTGGGTTTCTCTAGAAACCCCCAATTCCCAAGTCTTTTATAAGCAAACTGCTCCGGAGAGCCAGGGGATGCTGGCAGCTTTGGCTCCGAGCAGCAAGCAGGGAGGCAGGAGTTGGCATGATGCCTTCTCCTCCCTCCCCGGGAGGAACATCACCCCTCGCTACCAGATGGATTTCATCCTTCCCCTCTAGGAACGACTGTGTTTTGCAAGTCTCTGTTCATGTCAGGCATCTGCAGAAGTGCAGCTTTCCCGTGTTGGCATCTAGTGGCCCAGATTTCCCCTCTATAAGCAGACAGAGACCCTTCTTCCACATCCCAACCTGGATTTCATCCCACCTCCTCCAGGAGCATGGCCATGACCCTTTGAAGGCAACGTCAGAGCTTCCACTCCTGCTGTGCATCGACCCTAGATATATTCTGACGCATCCTGGGGGCTGTTTTCAGGGGGATGACTCAGAGCCATCACCTCCTGGTACGGAGGGACAGGGCCAGCCGTGATTCCTTGCCCTCTGCTGCGGTGCCTGGCAGTGCCCGGGGCCGGCACCCGCCGCCCCGCTGGCTCCACAGGGAATCCTGAGGGGGGGAAGAAATGTGGGACTGGGGGGGGCATCTCAGGACAGCACCTCATTGGAGTTCTCCATGGGGGTGCCCGAGAGGGTTTGGGTGGTGGTGGGCCTCCCAGCCCACGTCCTCACCAAAGGAAATGCTCCAATTCCCTTTAACAAACTAACTACTGCCCTTTGCAGCTTTTTCTGCCATTTCTATGTTCAAAGCAACCAAAATATTAATGTCTTCCAGTTCTATGTTCAGTTCAGTTCCAGTTCCAGTTCAATGCTTCAAAACTTAATTCCTTAAATGCAAGTTAATCTTTCAGAAGTGCAGAACCTGGGAGGATGTGGTGTGGGACAGGGCACTGTGCTCACCCCAACACCACGCTGGGGTCACTAGTAAATGCCACTTGGGAAGGGACAGCAGGATTTTTGCACGCAACGTGAAGATTATTAAAGGGAGAAGAGATTTTTAGAAGAGATGAAACCTAGCAGCTGCATTTATGGTATTTTGAGTTCTGGTAACTAACACTGGTATGAGCTGGCTGGAGGGGAGACGGTCACCCTGAGACGCCAGAGCCATCCATATCTCCTTTGGACACAAGAGGGAGTCCTGAATCACCAAAAAAGAGGGGTTTGCTTTGGTTGCTGTGGATTAAAATGCTTTTCCCTGCACTGAGGAAAACCTCGTCATCACTCAGAAGCCTTTAGTATGTTTTGCTCTTCACTGTGGTTGGGTGAATCCACGGTAAATCCAGGAGCGTGGATTTTTCCCCGTGTCCAGTGGGGACAGGTCAGCTCGCTGGTTGGGTGAAGCGACTCCTGGTTTCCTAAAGAACTGGGAATTATCCCTGAAATTAAGCACAGCTGACAGCCACCACCCTCCATTTTGCAGCCCCAGCTAAATGCAGAAAACGGAGGCAAAGCTCCACGCTTCTCCACGCTGTGGCATCAGGATCGTGCACTCCCCCTGGCCTTGGTGGCCACACGCACATGGCATCATCTACTCTGAGACCACCAGCACTGGCCACATGTGCCCCAGCAGCATGTCCCCCCATGGGCTTGGGGACAGCCAGTGGAGGGGACAGGAAGGCCCTGGCACCTCCTGTTCCCACTGTTCCAGGGGGGACATTTGCTGCTGGACGAGGGTGTTTTGGGAGGCATGCCTTTCCCTTATTACCCAATTTAATTAGACACAGTATAATCTTTCTAATGGATCTTCCAGGGGGGGAAAACACACACGGGAGGTAGAGGTGACATGGTGGCATGTGTCCAGTCAGGAGAGCCAAATACTGCAATATATCAGCAAAGGTCCTGCCAAGACCTGGCTGAAAGGGCTTGCTCCTTCCCGTATCAAAGTCACGAGGAAACCTCCAGCTGCCCCGAAATGGGGCTGGGGCTGGCTCCGGACGTGCCAGCCTCGGGCTCGGCAGTGTCCCCATCCCAAGGCACGCAGGGGAGGCATTCCTGTGGGGACGGGGATGGGCGTGCGGGGCTGCCGGTGGGCTGGGCACATCCCCTGGGGCGGGCAGCCCCCTATATCAAGCTGGGCTCGCAGGGGCAGCGCCGGCAGAGTGTGACCGTGACGTCCCCCGGCCTCTTGCCCAACCTCTGCAGCCATGGATGACATTTATAAGGCAGCGGTAAGTGCCTCCCTTTGGGGTTTTGGTTTTGGGGGGGAGTGTGCTTAAAGGGTTTACAGGGGTTTTACAGTAGATTCCCCAAAGCTGTGATGGAGGTAATTCAACGGAGAAATGCAAATAAGAAATAATTGTAGGGTGGCAACTTTTAGTCAACATCATCATCCAGGACATGGAGCTTTCCCACTGATGGCTCTGAAGATTTCAGACTCCTCTTGTAAGCATGAAACTCTCAATGGTGCTGCTAAACTATTTACAGTTACTCCCCTGGTTCCCCGCTGTAAGGCAGGGAGATGGCCCATAGGTGAAGTTATAAATCTAAGCAAAATCTTGAAAGCCTAAGAGGTGTCTGCTAGTTTTAGATCAGACACAAAGCAGAGCAGCGTTTCCCATGAAATTAACATTATTTGTATGGGTTAAACCTCACCCTTTTCTTTCTGGTGCTTTATAATTCTGCCATTGCTACGTATTCCCCCTTTCCTCAGCTGAGTATTTTTTCTGGAAGATTTAAAAAAATCCTTGGCTCTTGTAATTTATTTCCAAACATCATCCTCTGCTTTGCCACTCCTGATATCTGCTCTGCAGAAATCCAGAATGTGAGCTATGCTCTTGGGGAACGCGGAGCATCCTAATGGCTATTTTAACTTACACAGCTGCACCCTGCGCTCACCGTGTAAACCCAAACTATTTGGTCTGTAATAAGAACACTACATTATTTTGTAACATAGACAGACAGTGATATGCAGGTGGAATAAGGATGAAAATAGATTCTGGATTGTGTGGATTGCTACGTTATCCCTTCCATAACTGGGGTTAAAATATGAGGTTTGTTTTTTTTTTTAATATATAGTTGATCAGGTTTGATTTTAACCAAGGGCACAAAAATATATCACACAAGTTCTATTCTAATTCCAAGGCTTTTAGAGGGAAGAAAGATAGTGCTTGATACATAACTGAAGAAAAGAATAAAATGCTCACACCTCTCCTGTCCTTTGGCCCTGAACCTCGTTAAATGGAATTGCCCTAGCGACCCCAATAGTGTGAAAAGGTTTAGGGAAGGCTGTACAATATAGAGCTGAGTCCCCCAACAAACCCCTCAGAAAAGGAGAAAAATGTGACCTGTGAAATCAAAGAAAGCCCAGGCCTCTCTAATTAAGCTTTTAAATTAAATATGTTCTCTGCAACTCAAGGCACAGGTCCTCTGCTTTTTGTTTAGGGACCTCATGCCCATAATTAGGGAGAAAGGCTGAGGTGCTTTGGAAGCCGCTGATGCCCACAGGCAAAAAGGTCTGTCCATTTGCTGGGGCAGTGCCCTCACAGCATGGGTGGAGAGCCCCAAAATTAAGTGTTACCCAGCTGCAAGCTCCAGCCTCTCTCCAAATCTCTACCCCAGAAATCCACAGGCAAAGGTGGGGACTCTCTGCCTGGGGACTTCAGCAGTTTTACCATGAAGGAATTTAGCTGAGAAAAAGGAACGGCAGCAATAGAGAACAACCCAAAATTTCCTACCTCAGATACCAAAAACTTACCTCAAACATGGAGCCCTTGACCAGGGAAATGGGCCACGCAGAAGACCTGATGGACTCCCATATGGATTTTGCTGCTGGTTTGAAGGTGGGGTCACGCTGGTAAATGTGGGGCTCGAGTCCCAGGCATCAGCTGCCAGCACCTTCACAAAGCAAAACAAGTCTAAGCCAGGCACTGCCGAGACAAAAAACTTTTTTGTGGATTTATTCCCCAAGATTTTAACCACATGAAAACATTTTGCTGGAAAAAAAATAATCAAGAACTTCAGCTTTCCCTGTCTGACTTCAAATGGAAACATGGGACGAAGAAGAGAGCTATGATAAAAGCAAAATACAGGAGATTTGGCGTTACTGCGTCCACCGCAGTGCTGTGAGCTTAGTGCTTGTCTTCCCACACCGCAGCTGAGGAAACCTGTCCCCAAAATGGTGTGGAAGGAAACAAGGAATAAAGCCTTGAACAGCACCCATGTCCAGAGGGCACTATAAACAGCTCAAGAGATATCTCTGTAATAAAAGTGTCACTCTATAGTCATAATGCATTTAATTTACATACAGCATAGCTCCACTTCTATCATTTCAGTAGTCAAGGAAGCTTCAAAAGTGAGGATTTTTTTTCTATTTGCTGCGTGCTGATGGCATGTATTAGTATTAGAGTTATGCCAAATTCCCAACGTGCAGCCAGGGAACCCAATGGGTTTTCATCTTGCCCACTCATGCCTAGATAAGGGTGTGCAAACACAAAGCTATTTTAGGAACACTTTTAGGCTCTGTTAAGCGGCACTAAGAACAGTGCAGGGGACAAGTGTCCAGATAAAGGGCTGCAAGGATAAATACCAAAGCCTGGGAACAATTGGGGAGCTCATCTTTATCTCCAGCACCTCTCTTGCCCAGGCTTATAAATAGCGAATGCACCAAGAGGGTCAGGTTACCCGAGTGGCAGGAGGGTGCCCGAGGGAGCGTTGGCTGCCCTCGCTCTCTCCAGACAATGGCCACAAAGGGCTGGCAGCTGCAGTGCCAGGTTCACAGTGGGCTTGGGTTTCCTCCTGCCGTGGCAATCCTGCCCCCATCCTTAGCACTTTCTGACTTGAAAATCTTCACCTTCTGGTGCGTGGGGAGCGGGATAAGGCTCTCTGCCCGCTTCCCACAGGCTCTCTCCTGCTAAGAAAAAGCACTTTCCTTGCCTCTCGCTGCAAGAGCAAAGGATTTCCAGTTGGCTTTTGCAAAACGTCTTCCCTTTGGGGCAAAATCATCAGCCTTCCCTCAAACACAGGGTGCCACAATCCTGGGTTGAAGAGTTTGGCCCTGACCAAAACACAGTGAGGATGGACAATTGGGGATGGCTCATACAGGGTATGGAGATGGCAGTAAGGAGACATTAGTAGGGTCAGGCACTCTCTGCCCAGGGCAGAGGCAGCCCGGGCAGTGCTCAGGTCTGCCTGACACTGGAAAGGCTGTAAACCAGCCTGGGAGGGAAAAAAAAAATCAGCGTTTTAATCTCTGCTACTAAAGGGATGGTTGGACACAGTGGATTCTTGCTCTCCTCATTGATTATTCTCATTAGTTCATGCTAACTAGTAATCTCCCACTGGTTGTCTGCAGGGAGTGAACTAAGGTAGGGTTTGGGAACAATCTGCCAGCCCATTTTGGCCAACACCTAATGGCTCCACAGGCCATTTCTTCAGGGAAAAACCCAAAACAGGCTAAAGGGAATAGCATTTCCCTTCTGAGGTGGGAACCTTTGTAACAAACAATGACTTGGATGGAAGCAGAACAGCCCTTAATGCTCTGGATAGTGCAGAGAGCTTCCTGACTCTAGGGCTGAAAAACAAATACCAGGGTTGGTCTTTTCTGCCTCTCCCTCCCCAGGGACCTCCCCAGCATGTCCCACCTCTGACCTGGCCTCAGCCTCCACACAAGCAGCCCTCAGCGGCACAGATGTCCCGTTGTGAGGCCTCCTGGCAACAAGAAATTATCTCCAAAAGGTTGACAGAGATGAATGCTTTTCCCAGTGGGTCTTCCTTGCTTGTGCAAAGGCTAATTCTGATAGATGCTGCCACTCTGGAGAAATTATGATCACTTCAAAGGAGTTGGGAATAATTTTTTTTTTTTTTAAGGGGAAGAATCTCTTAGACTACAAAAAGTCGTGGTGTCAAAACCTCACTGGTCGTTTATCCTGTAGTCCATGAGAGTGACTGTTGTAAGGCTTGGCTGACCTTTGCAAAGGCTGTTACACAAATAACGTTACCTTTTAACCATTAGTGATGCTGAGGAAGAGAAATTACTTCATCTCTGTGTTTTCCTTACAGGTAGAGCAGCTGACAGAAGAGCAAAAAAATGGTAGGTGCATCTTTTAACCTGACGTTGCAGGCTAAAGACGAACTCCCCAGCTGGCAGCTCAGCCTGCCTCAGAAATTACACCCCAGGAAATGCCAGACTGGCCTGGGATGAGCCCCCTGCCCTGGGGCTGCCCACTGGCAGGGTTGAGGCATGGGGCAAGACCCCCGACATCTCCTCTTCCCTCTCTCCCCAGAGTTCAAAGCTGCCTTCGACATCTTCGTGCTGGGGGCGGAGGATGGCTGCATCAGCACCAAGGAGCTGGGGAAGGTGATGCGGATGCTGGGGCAGAACCCCACCCCTGAAGAGCTGCAGGAGATGATAGACGAGGTGGATGAGGATGGTGAGAGATTTGGGTTTCTTCCACTCTCCCAAGCACCACAGGCATGGGGGAGATGGGGCAGGTCGGGAGTGCTCAGTGTATGCACAGTGCTGGCAGGATCCGTGCTGGGGACAGCCGCAGCCTGCAAGGAGTGACCTGCAGCGCTGCGATTTTGAAGCGTGGTTACTTTATAAAATTTCCAGGCAAAAAGAACTATCAAAATTATTACTCTTATAACAATCAGACTGCTTGAACTCATTGTGGGGTTTACTGTAAAACTGCACATTTCAGAAGTGCCACAAATGCAGGATTCTGTCATTGGGAACATCTTTCACTTACTCTTATAACAATCAGACTGCTTGAACTGTGAAATTCCACAGATCCATTTAAAAAAAACAAAATACAGGCTAAATGCGGCAACTGCCATTTCAGAAGTGCCACAAATACAGGATTCTGTCATTGGGAACATCTTTCATTGCTCAAGTGTATACACATACACAAATAACTGCCAGTATTGGTTAAATTAATGTACTGGTGGTCACATAGCAAAATCCACTGTGTGCAAGTTGGGCAGAAATACCGTACTAAGTAAACAGAAAAAAAGCCAAACAACCCATTAAAAATCAGGCAAAAAAAGAAGATAAACGTGTCACTGTACTGCTGGTGCAAAACCACACTGCATGAATATCTGCCTTCCGGATGAGATGGACAGGTATCCATATTCCATAGCAGGAATTTCCATTCATCGGTGCTTCCAGCAGGACTTTTGGTTCATTTTGCTTTGGCAAAATCACTGCAAAAGGTGAAAATGCAGTGATGAAGTCAGTCCATGGCCTCAGTCACTTACGGCAGCATCCTGAAAGCTGCCTCTTGCTGCAGGGCTGCTCTCTGGAGTTTTGCTCCTTGGTTACTAAAGGGAAGTGTGATGTCTCCATGTTGCTGTTCACCCATGGTAGCGTCTTGCTGCAGGGCTGCTCTCTGGAGTTTTGTGCCTTGGTTACTAATGTGATGTCTCCATGTTGCTGTTCACCCACGGTAGCACTGTCTGATGGTGTGTACTCTGCCTGCAGGTAGCGGCACTGTAGACTTTGATGAGTTCCTTGTTATGATGGTCCGGTGTATGAAAGACGACAGCAAAGGAAAAACCGAAGAGGAACTCTCAGATCTCTTCAGGATGTTTGACAAGTAAGGGCAGTGACTGCAGCACAGTGGGGTGGTGGGAGCAGTGCAGCCGCCCCAGTTCCCCTTCCCCAGCATGTTGGTCCACTTCTGAGATCTTCCATCCTTGCGCAGAAATGCTGATGGCTACATCGACCTCGAGGAGCTGAAGATCATGCTGCAGGCAACGGGAGAGACCATCACAGAGGACGACATAGAAGAACTGATGAGAGATGGAGATAAAAACAATGATGGCAGGATTGACTATGACGGTAGGAGTCTTTCTTGTACACAGTTTGGTTGTGCGTCGCTGGGCAGCTCCTGTGGTCTTGGTTGCCTTCAGGGATGGTTGTGAGCTCATGCAGGCAGTGCTGGGCAATATGCCTGATCACAGCTGGTGTTTGCACAGGGATGAGGGGTTTCTTATGCTTGTGAAATGGTAGCAAGGGCCTGGGGCTGCTGAACTCTCTGCACGCTGACTTTCTGCAGCAATGCTACCAAAATGACCCCCAGACCGTTTCCAAGCTGAGCTGGTGGCCATGTTCCTTCCTGGGCACTCACCTCCAGTGTTTTGGAGGCGACTGAGAGTGACGCTGGGCTCTGGTGACATTTCCAGTGGGAGTCACAAGGAGTCCTCGCCACAGCCAGAGGAGCAGTAGCCATCCCCTCTCAGCCTTTTGCACATTGGGGTGCGGGGGTGGAAAAGGAGACGGGGCTGGGGCAAGCTGCCAAGACCACACTTGGCAGCTGCGAGGGCAGTTCGGTCCCACCTCACACCCCTTATCTCTTATGTCTTCCCCTTGGCAGAGTTCCTGGAGTTTATGAAGGGTGTTGAATAAATCTGAAGCCAGATGACAGCCCGAATCTCCTAAACCCCTCCAGCTCCGCATCTCGTCTCCTTGGCTAAGTCCCCTGGCTACCGGCATGAAGACTGAGCGCTGAGAAGGGTGGCCGCTGGGAAAATAAAACACGTTAATACCAAGTGCCTCAGATGGTCGTTCCTTGGAGGTTTAGTGAGAGCTTCACCCCGGTCACGTATTCGTGACTAATGGGTCTGCTCCTCAGGGCCGTGCCAAGTGCCTGCGAGCCGTGTCTGGGAAGGTGACACCACAGTTGGCGGTTTAAGTCTCCAAGGAGATATTTTGCTGCCAGCCCAGTGACAAAGTCCAGCCAAAGGGGCTCTGGATGCTCGGTGGGGAGCTGCCACGTTGCATCTCCTGACCTCTGCCATGGTGAGCGGGCTCAGGAGCCAACACTGGTGCCTGCTGGCTTAACTGGAGCATCAGCAGCATTTTAGTGATGAAATATGAATTAACAACCACTTATGCCACCACTGAAATCCCTGGGTGAGGGACAGTCCCTTTCCTTCCCTGGCTGTCCTGAAGGGTCACCCCTTCCTCCTCCCCACCATCCTGACGGCCACCCTGTGGCACATGCAGAGAGATGACCTGTATTTTCTTTGGAAATACAAATAAAAGCCATTGCTAAGCTGGACTGGGTTCCTCCTTCCCACCTCACCCAGCCTGGCAGGAAGCAGACAATGGCAGCCCCTCAGTCCTCCAGCAGCCCTGGGTGGGAGCCTCACCGTAAGAACTGAAACGCCCAATTTTCCCTCAGAAATCATGTTCATTTGGGCCCTGAGCAAGGCACAACCCTGCTTTGGGTCTCGTCCCCCCGGTGTGGGGCGACAGCAGGGCCGAGGGAGAGCCGTGCTGTCGCTGAGGGCCCTGGGTGCCATCTTCTCCCGCCCCAAGGAAGTGCAGCATTCCTGCGGCATTAGCAGCTCCCCTGCACATAGCTGCCTCCTCCCATCGAATTACAGCCCCAGCACAGCTCAGACATTGCAGTCGTGTTGCTAAAATCAAACGTTTACCCAAGCAAAATAAACATTGGCAGGGCAAGGCACAAGATTGTGTCAGTGCAAACCCCGGCGATGCTGCCCTCCACCCTGGGTGAGGGTGACACCATGGCAGTACCCCCATGCCCACTGCACCATCCTTCTGCCTTCCCTCCCCAAACCAGTTTATTTTTTTGCCCCCCTGGAAATAACACCCCAAGCATCTGTATTTGGTGTGTCAGATGCTCTCATTTGTAGCAATAATGAAATGTTGTAATTCAGATCAAATAGGCTTGAGGTGAAATGAGGCCTGAGAGGAGTTGTCAGGTGTTTGGAAGGACATGGCTGTGTCTTTCCTGTCTTTCCTCTGGACAATGAGCCCCAAATGTTTTGCCCAAGCAGGGCTTGTAACATCAGAGAAACTGAGGAAATGAACTCCTGTCAGCTAGAACAGCTGGTTTTCCTTACAACCCAGGATATTTTGGAAACACTCCTAATGCAAACATCTAGATGCCCCGCTCAAAGGGGTCTCCCCCGAGGGTCCCACACCCTCAATGCCATAGTTCCTGCTGATTCAGCAGAACTGCAGGTGCACCAGAAGTGAACAGACACAGGAATGTGTTGGGTCAAACAGCCCTGTGACAGGACATGCTCCTGTGTGTTACTGCCTCCTGTCTCCAATGAATCCGTAGCCTAGAGATCAAAAAAGAATAATTTTCCACCTCCCCAGTGTAGCAGCAGAAGTCATTTCCCACTGAGACCTGCTTCTGAGGACCTGTTTTATTCCAGGCCTGGACACCTCCACAGGGGTGCAAATACCTGGGCTTCTGCCACAAGCCACAATGATGCCAGCTGTCCCCACATCCATCCTGCAGGCAACCAACACTCTCACATCACACCTCCACACACATCACCAACAGCCCAGTTATGGGCTGACCAGATCCTGGCACCAAATGAGGACACCTCCAAGGTATTCACTCACTGATAGGCTTTGGATCCCTAAAGAGTGAACAAGAGGGAAAAAAATAAGGAAGTTTCCCAGCTTAATCCCCTCCCTTCAGCCAACTTGGTGGGTGGGGGAGGCCTGGGCTCTTGCTGTGACCCCAAGGAAAATGATGGCTGCAAAGAGCCACCTGGCTATGTCTCAGCTCTACCCCCTTGGTTCAATGGCAGAGGCAGCAGTGAGTCACGGCCTCACTGTCTACACACTTTTCCAAGAGCAAAATCGGGAACGTGGTGGCTGGAGAGGGAGCACCAGGGTCTTGCAGCAGCCAAAACTTGCTCCTAGAAGAGCTTCCCCAGAGACACTGGAGACTATTTGGCCTTTTTTAGTCTTTAGACCAGAGGTGCCAGCAGGTCAGCCTGTTCCGCATGAGAAATTGCTGCAAGATCAATTTGTTTTAACACACACGCCCCCAGAAGTAAGACAGCAAATGGGGCAGGGTGGGGTGCTGCGGGTGGATTTCACTGTTGGCAAACACAGGAACAGCTGCATTTGGAATGGAACACACCACACCACGGGCTGGCGAGCGGGCCAGACGGCTGAAAAACCAGTAACCAGCACAGGATCAGCCTGGTTGAAGCCTCCACAGAGGGGACGTACCTGGAGATGTGCTCATGATGAATGAAAACCACCTGAGGACTCCACATATCGATGGAACTCCAAACAAATTCAGTTTTCCCTGCATGTCGAGTGAAGCTTTGGTGCCAGAAGCCCTTAAGAAATGTGACAGAGGTCCGCGAGCACTACTTGAAATATATCTGAAAAAATAACAATAATTTTTAAAAAGTCACTGAAATATCCATCCATTTTTTCAATCATGCAAAAAGCCACTTCCACTTAAGAGTCCCCAGATCTGTGAGCTCTTAAACTCTCAGCTAAGATGGAGCTGTGCTGGCAGGTGACAGCAGCCCATGCCTCTGGACACAGCCACAGTTCCCAAACCACTTGCTTTCACTGGCAGTAGATTTAGCTCCTGCCCTGGATTGCAGCTTTTCCAGCCTATTCAAGGCCTCTCCTCAGCAAAATGCTGCTGTGTGCACTCACTGACTACAGGAAAAGCTGAGGACATTTGGTTCTCATCTCCCTAAGAACACCTCTGCAGCTCACCTACAGTCACACACCTGCCACCAGGGCAGCAGCAGTAAAACGTGAGCTAAGATATATCAAAGAAAGTATTTCACCAAATGCTCCAAAGCCCCTGTTGCACAGAAACACCTGCAACAGCCTTGAAACTTGGGCAAAGCAGCACTCACAGTCTCTTCACTGCTTTTTGCTTCACCACACCACTGGAAGGTGATAAAGGCGGAGAGAGCAACGCGTGCCCAGCCCAGCTTTTCTTTTTCACCATGAACATACGTCCCCAGTACACACTCTGCCTCATCCGAGTGTCTCCCAGTGCTGGGATTTCTCCTCCCAGTTCCATGCTCTTGGCTTCCAGTGCGATTGCTCACCTTTGCCAAATGAGCTGATGCAGTATTCAGTTACGTGCCCTTTGCTCTCTCTTCTTTTTTTTTTTAATCAAAGGGAAAAAAGGAGCCAAACTGGAACTCGATACCGAGACCTCTTAATTGCAAAGAGGAGAAGTCATTTGCAGTGGGTATGACATACAGCAGCAGCAAGCATGAAATGTATAACCCAACGTACAGCAGTAGCTGAGCGGAGCCACTCTCAAGCTCACTGGCTTCCTGCAGGATACCAAAGCCTTAATCCTAAGAGTTTTTGAAGTTTTTAAATGTCAAAGATGACAGAGCGCTGCATAATGGGAATAGTTTCAAGGGGGCCACAGCTGCCAGTTCTGTCTCCTGGGCTCTGTATACGTAATCCTCCCAAAAAGGATCTTCAACCTCACTTGACCAACAGAAATCAAAACCCAGAACTTAGATTATTTCACAAGGAAAACCAAAGAGGATGAAAACCCACCAGGAGGCCACGTCAGCACAGATTCCCCTCCACAGCTTCTCCTTTGGGGCTGGGGCAACCTCTACCACAAGGAGGGAAGTTGTGAACAGAGCTCTCACGGGGTTAGAAAACTCAAAAAGGTGATCAACCGCTGTCCAGGCAGCGTCCTGCAGGTCCACCGTGTGTGCAGGGAGCAGACAGCAACAAACCTGACACCGAGCTGCTGTGGAAGCTCACAAAATTCCTGACTCTTGCTACACAATGACGCCTGGATTAAGGTTACGTTCCACCGCGCTGCATTTTGTCACGCAGCCGCTATTTTGGTCGGAAAGTCAGCAAGCCCTTATTTGGGAAGCTGTCCCACTGAAGGGCAGCATGAAGGGCAGCGAGATATAGCGGCTGCTTCTGAAGGCAGGGCCTGAGGGAGCTGCCTGGAACCCCAGGAAGCCCAAATCTTCCTCCCTGCTTCTCGTGAACGTGCCAACATCCTCTTCTCAGCCTGACCCTGGCCTCTCTCTCTTCCCTCAAACCCCATCCTGTGGGTGAGCTACTCTCACAAGACAAGCACCCTGGGGAAGACACCAAAAGGGTTTAGAGATGAAATCCCCCTTAGATAGAAAAGCCTTGGTGTTAGAATATTTCAAATGCAGAACTCACACCAGCTTGGAGCTCTGCAGACACGCAGGTGAAGGTGCAGCAATACAAAGTCCTCTGATACCCACAGGCACTTGGGTACCACTGAGGCCAGTGGGATCTGCCTCTGGGTGACCGATCACACACAAAAAAACCTCCCCAGTGAAGACTACCACCAGGAACCTCTGGCTTGGTGATCTCCTGCCTTTCCCGAGGGCAGCAGGGACCAGACAACCTTTTTGTCTTGACTATTTAGCAGGCTCTACCTGGTGGTACAAACCTTGTGACTGTACATTCTCCATCCCAGCACCCCTCCTGACCAGCTGCTCCTGCACAGCAGTTAAGTTCTTTTGGCTGACAATCATCGATCTCCTCAACAGTCCAAGAGATGCACAAAGCAGTTGTGGGGTTGCAGACTTCCCTCTGACTTTAAAAGCCCCCAACTCCTAAGTTTAAAGTTAGTAAATACCTCTATATTGCTCGGTTTAGGGCTGGGTGGTATTTTCAATCAGTTAAAAACAATTAAAAAGTGGTATTTGGGAAGAGACTTGTGAATTCAAGCCATAAAGAATTCAAACTGTTTACATTGTTTTGAAATAACATCGCATTTTGGCAACTGGCTTAACTATTTTAAAAAAATAGTGAACTACATTAATCGGATGTTTCAGTTGAACGATTTTCCTTTGTTTAATCCCGTAGCTGTTTTGCTGCTACACCACAAAGTGAGAAATACCTGCAAACTTGCAGCCCTAGTGTCTGTGTGTGGATTTACACCCCCAGGTGGACAAGCGTTGGAATTGCAGCGTCAGGAACAGTCATTTCATTTTAACAAGTAGCTCATATCAGTTATAAAAATGCACCTCTGGAACCAGCTTTGCTGGCTACTGGGATCTGGAGGGAGAAGTCCTTTCCTCATCTACAGAAAGACAGCAGTGACAACACCCTGTCACAACACCTCTTGGGCTTTTGAATGTTACTCCCCTGATCTCACCAGCCAGTACATTTCATCAGTAGGTATTTTTTGTTACCAGAATGAAAGATCTCCACCAAAACGCAGTAACTATGAAAAATATGGCTATTTTATATAGTCCTATAACTTTACATGTTCCCATGATAGTTCCATGAACATGCCAGCACTTTAAAGTATTGCAGAATACAACACACACCATTTCTAACACCTATTACTACAATCTCTAACACTAGAACTAGCACTCCGTACCTTCCCATTTTTCAGGATTTCCACAGCTGTAACTACCTCACCTGGAGAGCAAAGCAACAGACAAGTAACAGCACTAGGAACTATCACAAAAACTGTGGAATATGAGAACTCTGAATGTGTGTGCTACTATCAAAAATAATTTTACCTGTATTGAATACTGTCACCTCAGAGTCCAGGCAACACTGGCTTCACTTTATACGAATAGACACAAGTCGTTTCTCGTTTAAATTTTAGAGCCTTACTTAATCACCATTTCACAACTTGACAAAAGACTTTGAACTGCTAGATGTTCATGACCTGTACCAACAACCACTGTAGAACCGCACTGAGGATGGAGCAGCTGTTTTATTTTGTGTGTGTAGGCTGATGATATCACCACAACCCCTCTCCACAGCTCCAGCTGGCATGTAGAATACAACTCAAGACTTTTGGAGAGAGCTCCTCAAAATTCAGGAGGTAAAGACTTTGTTACGACCAATTTTATTTTTACAAAAATGCTGTAATACACATGCCAATGGGGAAACTGGTTCTTTTGCTCCCAAACTACATCAGTCCTTTTTCTGCTGAGCAGCCTGCTTCGCGTTGTTGGCCTGCATCTTTTTCAGCCCCTTTTTGTTGTGTTTCTTTGCAAACCTCATGTTTCTCAGAAACTTGGGATCAACCTATAAAAATAAGAAAAAAATTAAGCCACATTGTAGAAGGGACATATGCTAAAACATGTATTTCTCCAGCTTGTTCCAATTATTCCCAAATGCTGGCTGGGATTAACTCAGAACTTTTATTCTGATTTATTAAAACAAAAAAAATATTTTAGCCATCTGTAATCATCCCTTAAGTAGCCATTTTCCTTAATTTCCATAAACAAACCAACCAACTCACCCAAAACCCCCACGATAAACATACAGAAAGAATAGGGTAAGTTAAGGAAAGCTGTAAACAAGATAAATTTAATTTCCATGTCACAATACACTCTGGATCTGAAGAGCCACAAACCAACATTGGCAAATGAGCACATAAACATGGAATCCTTGGGCAAAGACCAATAGCATTTCCTCGGGCCTTTCCTTTTTACATTGAAGGAAAAAAAGTGACAGGATGGAGAAGAGTCACTCCCCAGTTTTTGTCAGCCAATGGCTGGCTAACACATCCTGTCACGACTAGGACCAACTCGCAGAACTATCAGCTACTGTCCCGCTGAGAAACATTTACTGTTTTACTGTAAACAGCATTGTAGGTAGCACATATGAATATCGGGGTTTTGTCACCTTAATTCACGAACACTCGGTACAAGGAGACGGACTCAGAGACAGCTGGACTATCTGTGGGAGGGGGCAGGTGAGCTATGCAGGTGACAAACTTTTATGCTGCGTACAAAAAGCCGATAATCACATCCCTCCCCAAAGCCAAAATGTCATGTTTTCACTTTGAAGCATGGAGAAAGATCCCTTTATATCACTTGTCTAACCTTCAAAAAAGCAAAAGGTTGTGACTTTCCTATCAACTGTCCAGAAATGCAAATTCCTCTCATCTTCTGAGTCAAATTCTCTGGATTAGTAGAGATGGTACGATAATATTAAAGGGTACAGAGAAGTAGGAGACACAGTAGGACTCAAAAGAGAGCAGAGCTACCCAACTGACGTGTTATTTTCACTGGAAGCAGCAGTTAGCAGGACAGAAACAAAATCAGCTAATAATCAGCTGAAAAGAAGTTTTATAGACATACATCCAGGTTAGAAATATCACAGCTGCATGCAAGGTAAGCCAAAGATCAAACAAGACGTGTTATTTTCACTGGAAGCAGCAGTTAACAGGACAGAAACAAAATCAACTAATAATCAGCTGAAAAGCGGTTTTATAGACATACATCCAGGTTAGAAATATCACAGCCGCATGTAAGGTAAGCCAAAGGTAAAACAGAAACCCACAGTGGCTCTGACCATCTGAAACATAAGTCCCTACCTGCAAAAAACGTCTGTTAAAATAATACAAATACAGGATTTTTTTGGTAGTTAAGCCTCAATAGCTTAAGAGCCTGGAAATACCAATAGAAATACTCACCCCTTTGAGTGACTCATATCTATGGGAGAGAAGTAGGAGACACAGTAGGACTCAAAAGAGAGCAGAGCTACCCAACTGACGTGTTATTTTCACTGGAAGCAGCAGTTAACAGGACAGAAACAAAATCAACTAATAATCAGCTGAAAAGCGGTTTTATAGACATACATCCAGGTTAGAAATATCACAGCCGCATGTAAGGTAAGCCAAAGGTAAAACAGAAACCCACAGTGGCTCTGACCATCTGAAACAAGTCCCTGCCTGCAAAAAATGTCTGTTAAAATAATATAAATACAGGATTTTTTTGGTGGTTAAGCCTCTATAGCTGAAGAGCCTGGAAATACCAATAGAAATACTCACCCCTTTGAGAGACTCGTATCTATGGGACCTGGGTTTCTTGATGCCATTTCTGTGCCACTTACGGGCTACGTGGAAGACCAAAAAACAATTTAAATTACCACTTCTGCCATTATTAAATAACTGCATTAGCTTTCCTGTAAGCAGCCCAGCTGACCCTACCAAAATGACCTTTCCTGTCCAAACTAAACAGAAATTAAGAAAGCATCACTGTTCTCACGCCGCTGCACGCTGTGCTCTCAGCACTGCCCGAGTTTCTCATCCAAGGATTTCAGGCTCCACATTAACTAATAATATATCAATGGCCACACCACTAGTACGATAAAAAAAACCCACAGTGGCTCTGACCATCTGAAACAAGTCCCTGCCTGCAAAAAATGTCTGTTAAAATAATATAAATACAGGATTTTTTTGGTGGTTAAGCCTCTATAGCTGAAGAGCCTGGAAATACCAATAGAAATACTCACCCCTTTGAGAGACTCGTATCTATGGGACCTGGGTTTCTTGATGCCATTTCTGTGCCACTTACGGGCTACGTGGAAGACCAAAAAACAATTTAAATTACCACTTCTGCCATTATTAAATAACTGCATTAGCTTTCCTGTAAGCAGCCCAGCTGACCCTACCAAAATGACCTTTCCTGTCCAAACTAAACAGAAATTAAGAAAGCATCACTGTTCTCACGCCGCTGCACGCTGTGCTCTCAGCACTGCCCGAGTTTCTAATCCAAGGATTTCAGGCTCCTCATTAACTAATAATATATCAATGGCCACAGCACTAGCATGATAAAAGGCCTCAGTCACCAAAAAATTCAAGTGTGTGAGTTTAGCTTTACAGGGCACCGTTGTTCACTGTGCAGCACCAACCCATAACTCTGCCAATGTACAGCATTGATGAAAAAAACCCCAAACATGAACTATTTTACCACTCTGCTCTGCTCATTTTTAGAAGGCAAAGCAACCCAGGCTGAATGCCATTCAGTAATTAATGCCTCTACTTCAAACGTACAAATTCATTGAATGGTTTAGGTCGGAAGGAACCTTTAAAGAAGATCTAGCTCCAAGCAGTGTTTTTTCTCTGGTTATATATTATTTTTATATTGGGTCCAAACAAGCCCTGACTTTTGCAGGGCTCTTTTCCCTAACCACCCCATGCCACCTCTGCGTACTGCCACCTCCTCCCCTCAGAAGCTTATCTCGCTGCAAGAAACAGAGGAAGCCGGGGCTGCCATAGCCGAGGGGGTGAAAGCAGCCGGTTAAACCCCTCAGCGAGGCGCGGCCCCGGGCCTCCCCAGCGACCACACCGCCCTTCCCCGCCTCCCCAAGTCGCCCAGCCCCACGCCAGCCCCGGCTCACACTGGTTGTGCGTGGTGTGGTTCTTGGACTTGGCCATGGCTGCACCTACGGGAGAAGGAGACACCGCTCAGTCAGGGAGGGCCGGCCAGGCGGCGGTACCGACCCCGAACACCCGGCCGCCCGCCCCACCACAGCCCCAGGCCCGGCCTCGCCCCCTCCCAGCCCGGTGGGGTCGGGTCAGGCCCAGGCCCGGCCCGGATGGAACCGGATAGAGCGGAGCGACACTTACCGCCGCCGCCGCCGACACCGGAAGAGAAGGCCGTGCCGCAGGGGCTGCTGGGAAATGGCGCCGACGGACCGGAACCTCGCTCCGCTCCGGGGTGCAACAACCGCCGCAGCGGGGAGGTTCCGCCCGGCCGCCTCCCTGCTCCCCTTCCCGCACCCCCGCTCCGCACCGGCCCCTCCGGCTGCCGCCTCCGCTCTCGCCCCAGGCCCCGCAACACCCTGGCCCCAGCGACGTGGCGGACCCCCGTCCCTTAGCGGCGCGGCTCCCCCACCAACACTGTCCCCCCAACATGGCTCCCCCCGGGCCCAGCAGGGCCGCGGCGCAGTGGTTCCGTGCGGTGTCTGACCGCCCCTGGCCAGGCCGGCCTGCGGGCTGAGAGCCTCACCCCGCAATGTACACGGGCTGAGACTTGGGTAGTACTTTAGTCTCTGAAAGACAGTAAAATGGTGACGAAGGTGGGCAAATGAAGTGAAACGAAGTGAGCCGCTTGGTGAAAGTGCCAGCCAAGCCAGAGCACAGTGGTGACGAAGGTGGGCAAATGAAGTGAAGTGGGCCGCTTAGTGAAAGTGCCAGCCAAGCCAGAGCACTGCGGCCATTTCACAGAATCACAGAATCTTCTAGGGTAGAAGGGACCTTAAAGATCATCTTGTCCAACCGTCAACCCAACTTTGACAAAAATAGACACCTGCACAACAAACAAAAAGCAACACCATCACTAAACCATACCTCCCAGCACTACATCAACCTGTTTTTTGAACACCTCCAGGGATGGTGCCTCAACCACCTCCCCGGGCAGCCCATTCCAATGTCTGAGAACCCTTTCGGTGAAAAAACTTTTCCTAATATCCAGCCTGAACCTCCCCTGGCGTAACTTGAGGCCATTTCCCTGTGATGGCAGCAGGCATGGCCGGAGCTCCCCTGGTGTAACTTGAGGCCATTTCCCTGTGATGGGAGCAGGCCTGGCCGGAAGGGAGCGGGTCTGGCTGTCCCAAATGCAGGAGGACATGTGGTGTGGCCATCAGGGAGCAGCTGCCAACAGTGATTCGTGGTCGTGGATTGAGGCGCCTCCCGTGGGGAAGCACGAAAGGAGGACAGGGACCCATAGGCCAAGCCCAAGCCCGAGCCCGTTGGGGTCTGCCTGTGCACAAACTGCAGTGTTTCAGTCCGCGACTGCTGTACGTTCAACTGGGAACCTTGGAAAAAGGAGCGAAAAAGGCCCAGGCCTTTCCGTGTTGTGGTAGTGTGGAAAAATACTGCCGTCTTTTTATGGCATCACCTGTATTTTAAGATGAGAGACACAAGTGAATTGCCTGAAATAGCCCAGAGACCAAAGCCCCTGGACCGGTACAGAGGAGAGAACCAGACTTTTTTTTTTTTCAGTGACTGATTGCTTGCAGAGCAATTAGCTACTCTGCCTCAAGTTTGGATACCTAGGAACAAGCTCATACTATTACAAAAGTGTGTGTGTGTGAAATTATCCTCAATGGACGTGTAGCTGATGAAGCTGAAACTAAAATAGGCAGGAAAAAGAAAGCTAATACAATTTAATTTCAGTATCCCTCTTCTTTCCAGCAACACCTAAGCTGCAAAATGTATTTGGCTTAATTTTTTTTTTAATCCTGCGCAACTGTTACTAGCAAATAGTAACAGTTGTAAAAAATAGATTAAATTCTAATAGATGAAGAACAGTGTAAAAAATAGATGAAAATAGCGAAATTCTTTTACTGACATTTTGCAGCCAGAATATGAGGTTGTCCATGAAATCCTCCTTGATATACAAACTTCTAACTCTTCAAGCTCTGTTTTTTAAAAATTCTTTCCACTGTAGTAAGCTGTGGTCTTAAAAGTATTCAGACGTCGCCGTGGCCAGCTAATCACAGCCAACAGCAGAGAGAAAGCCTGGTTTCCTGATAACCCAAAGAGCCGAGCTCAGCGGAAGATAAAACTGAATCCCAAAGGCATGTTTGCCTCCACTGCATTGCAGGAAGAAATATGCTGCCAGGTCCCCTTATCTTGGCCATTCGATTATGAAAACTCTTGATCTTTTTCACTCATTTCTGAGCCTTCCGTCGGAGGAAGAAACGGGAGGGTTTATTTTATGGTTTCAGCTATCTTTTTCAAGTTCTTTCAGTATCTCGCTGCAATTACTGCTGTCAGAGTTCCCTGTGAGTCTTTCACAGCTGCTGCTGGGCCACGTGAGCCAAGCAGTCAGACAGGTGGGGATTAGAGAAGCTGTGCTTGATGCCCAGGTGATACATAAGACTCTAAGCCAAATGATTAAAATAAAACTCTGGAAATGCATTCGGTTTACGGGGCTGAGTGTGATCTATTCAGGGTCGTTTATAAACCACTGCAAACCAATGCAGAATATCAGGGGAAAAGGATGATCCAAGGCAGGATCAAGACCCGTGTTCACCACGGGGTGATCAAGACCCCTTGAATTTCTTCTGTGCTCTGATGAGCTGCGATGTCTCTAATTACGGTGTTACTGAGAACGATTGGCCAGTTCAAAACCTTCAATCATACTTTCAGTGATTACAGACTTAATTAGTGCATGTTAGCCCAAGTGTCATCTATTAAAGGAGCTGTGCTCATTAAATAGGATGGTAATTACTCCAGCTGCAAAACAATTACGGAAAAAATCATAGGTTAAAATAAAAATCTCACAGAGTCTTTGACAACCGCGTTATCTCAGTCAATGTCCTTGCATCACACACATTTATGCCGAATGATCTCTGTTAGGTTTGTCACGGCTTTCATGCTGATGCCACATTTCGGCAGACTCCTCTAACCTTCCCTCCTCCCTCCCTGCAAGCTGACATTTGGACTTGGGGCGATTAATTACTGTAACTCCCCCTTTTAGTAATGGCAGTGACTTGGAAAAGCTCAGTGCCCAGGCCAAGTGCTCTGTGGGTGTAAATCACTAATTTTCAGGAAACCACTGTGATCCATCCCAAAAAGGGTATGGGGAGGGTTTTGCTGACATCCAATGCAGTATTTTGGAGGTGTTCTTCTATTGTATATTCTGATATATACATTCAGAGAGATGTTATGTGTGAGAAACTTCTCCCGACATGTCTCAGGGCTCAGGCACATGCCACAGCCCGTGCTGGAAGGTGACCCAAGCACTGGGGGCCTGGGGCACCTCCCTTGGGCACCAGCCCTGCCAAGGCACCTGGCAGAGTGTGCTGTCGTGCCCGCAGCTACAGTAACTGCCTCGATTCATGGTTATACCAAAGAACACCTCCTTGCCAGCTGAGAAATTAGGGCTGCCTTCACCTCTGCAACGGCGCATTTGCAGGGCTGTGGGTCATCCAGCGTGGTGCCCACCCCAGAGCTGAGCTGGGCTGAGTTTTACAAGACAGGCCCAAACTGTGGCCAAAGCTGGCCATTTCCCAAGACACTGGGAAATTTCCTCCCCATTTTCACAGGAGATAAAAAGAGGCAGAACCATGCTCATGTAGGGTGCTGGACCCAGGGTGACAGCACAGCTCGCCAGTACCCCGGTGTGCAGCCAGCCTCTGCTACACGGTGTACTCCACGCCAGCCAAAATCAGTGCTAAGAGCTTCAGGTGTTGATTAGAAGCCCAGATAGTTGACACAGACTATGGGGTGCCCCTAAATGCTGCTCCCTCTAGGAGCAGAGGAGGCAGGGGTGAGCCACCTGGCGTGTCCCCGAGAGGTCCCCGCATTGGTGGGATGCGGTGGATTTTGGGTAGCTTGTGGGCAAACAGGGCTTAACTGTGCTATAAGCCTGAGCTAGCAGTGCTGGAGGAGAGCAGGGATGATGGCCAGTCCTCAGGAACAAATGGCCAATACACCTCTGGAGAAACCACATGGAGAAGCAGGGACACCAGGACAAGAAGGCACTAGAGGGAGCCTGAGCATAACAGATCCCACTCTGGGCTCAAAGTGGGAGCACTGGTCCCTGAGAGGGAGAAGGGACATCTCCAGGGAATGACAGCAAAACACACAGAAGTTTCCCCCTTGACCTGGTATCGTACCTGGCTGTGGGGTTTTTTCCCTAACATCTTTTACAATTTTCTTAAAGACTTGAAGAAATAGTTTTGTTTATAGAAAGTACCTGTCTGCCACTGTGCGGGGGACAGCTGGCTCTGTGCATCTGCAAGAGACGGTAAGAAAAAAACCAGTGTCAACCGGTGGCAATCGTCAGACAGGCAGCCTCAAGAGAGCAGGAGTTCTTGCAAGGCAAGGGGGAGCAGAAGTGCTGATCCCCGGCTGTGGGTATCCCGACAGGATGGGGAGCCAGTGTGGCACAGCCCACAAGTGGTCTTGGACTGATGGCAGGGACACGGGAACAGTAGCCGAGGCCTGTGTGCTCCACTAGGTGTGCTCCAGTTAGCACCAGTTAGGAGAGCTGGGGCACTGGAAGAGGCTGGAGAGCTGCAGTCTTTTATTTTCCTCAGCAATATTTTCACTGTATTGGCTTTGGACAAGGAATAGGGTCACTGGCTCATGATCTAGTTGTCTGAATCTCCCCCTGCCACCACTGTCACCAAGGATCAGTGCAAAGAGCCAGAGTCTCTGGGTTAGGTACAGATGGGCACCGGTGCTACGGTGGGGCAGGGACTGGGGAACAAACACTTTGCACTGGTGTTTAGCTGCCGTGGGGAGATGGATGTGTTTGTTCCAAGCAAAGCAGATCTTTTACAATGTTTGCACTGGGCCAAAAGTTGCTTTCAAGAGGGGTAATCAAGCTTGACCCAGCAGAAATCAGAGGAGCAACCTGGGTGAGCCCGGACCATGGACAAAAGGAAGGACAAGTTACAGCAGCTCCATCACTCCTGCCTGCCCTTGGAGGCTTTCATTCCTCCACAGAGACCATCCCTCAGACCAGCCCAGACCCTCTGCACATCCTCCATGAGTGTGTTCCTGTAAGAAGCTTCCCACCACAAAGGCAGGAGGAAAAATCAGGCAGCAGCCTGCAGTACAGCTGTGACCTTTCTCTCCAGGCCTGCCACCTCCTCCCACTCTCCCCAGAGCTGGCACTACTAACAACTGGTTTCCTCTTGTTATTTTTCCACCTCCGCTCCTTCCTCCAGAGGGGAGGCCATGCTGGTGGCCCACGTACTGATGACTCATAGGCTGGGACCCACTAGGAGCCAGCTAAGCTTGGCCAAACTTAGTAACATCTCATTTTCCATTGCCTACACCCTGAATGTGTCTTCTGGCTGGGGTTGTCACTGGAGACCTTCTCCAGTCACCTGGAGGGTCAGGGAGGACCAGCTCAGTTGTGTTTCCTTTAAGTTTTGGCAATCCAGGAGCTGGGCTGAGATGGAGCAGCCCTTGATGCAGGTAAATTCCTCTTTGGTGAGTGTTCATCCAGCTTGCTGATAGCTGAAAACCTCAAGATGTTCTGGACATCAAAGAGGGCTTTTCAGGCTTGGGAAATGTGTAAATAAAGACGTATCTAGAGGACTGCATAGCAGTTGCATTTTTCTGGAGGCATTTGAATGATTTGAAGGGAGCTTAGAGGTTTAAAAGCCGATTCCCCCGTGTCAATCGGCGTGGTCCATCTGGCTGGATGTCCTCAGATCAACAAATGACAACTGTAAGCACTCAACCGAGCCTGGGGCACCTGCAGGGTGGGGAAGGATGGTCCGCAAAAGTGGAGGTGCTGCCGTGGCTGGAAGCTGGGCATGGAAAATAGCTGGATGATGACCAGGGCTACCAAGAGGCTGCGCTGGGCCAGCAGCAGATGAGCAGGCGGAGCACGGAGACTTGTCTCCTGGGCAGCTGCAAGCCCATCCAGCAGGACCACACGGCTCCGTGCGGGGTTGTGTGTCGGAGATAACGCCAGGAAGGGAGCAGTGCTCAGCCCACGCTTATGGCTGTAATGGGATTTTTCCAGCACACTCGGTGCCCCGGTAACGGAAAAGGAAGCTCGCCTGCCGCTTCCCAAGGCCGGGGTGACCGTGCGCAGCCGAGGTGACACCTGCTCAACCCGTGCTTCCCAACAGCCCGGCTGTTCGGAAGGAGTGAGCAGATCTGCAGGCACAGCGTGCAACGGAGCAGCTGATCGCTGCGGGGAGGAAGCACACGGAGGCGGCTGGGAGAAACGGAGAGGGCTGACCTAAATAGATGCTGAGCTAATTTATTCATTCCTCTGCTTTATTATTTAACGTGACTTCGAAACAGCTCGGGACTTCTGGTTCCTCTCGGCTCCGCTGCTGACGTTGGGATGGGGTTATTTTTGACCTGATTTTTTGCCTCCGTCGTGCTGAAAAGCGTGGCACAGCCTTGCTCAGCACCCTGCTCTGCCCTCAGGTGGGCCGGGCGCACCGTGGGAGAGCTCCAACCACGGCCGCTTTCTAGCCAGGAGCACAGGAAGGACTTATTTTAAGTTACTCTGAGCTTTTGCTTCACCTCCCGCCTGGGAAGGTGTTCAGATTTTGGCCTGCTTTATGCATTGTTAATAGGGAGCTTTATCTCCAGTTTAGCTGGCGAGAGGATTGGTGAGTTCCTACAGCACGAGGCAGCCTCCAGCCTCCGCCGACGTCTCTCCCCCCGGCAGGCTGCCAAACGCAGCCCCAGGCTCTGCAGCACGGGGGCTTTCAAGGATAAACCTGGAGCCTGCCTCGCTCCCAGCCGGCCCCCACTCCCCTCAAATCCCAGCAATCCCCTGAAACACCGTCTGGGAGGAATTTATTACGAGAAGGACACAGAGCCCCAGCTGTTCAGGCTGCAGTTCACCCCACCGCCGGCTGCACGTGTCCTCTGCGAGCCCACGGCACGTTTTAGCACTGCTGAGGCTTAAAATCCACAAGCTGGAGAAAAAAAAAATAAAAAAATCGATGCCTGCGCAGGTTGTCTAAAGCCATGCACCATTTCTGTGCAGGCACAAGGGCGTATGGACAGAGCTGCTCCTGCATGAAGTGGCTGCTCACCAGGATTCAAACCATACGGCACCCAATTTGCACCACGCAGGGCCCTTTAATTTTGTTTTTCATTAGCATTCGCCACTCTATGTATACATTTAGGACCGTGTTATACCCAATTACCCAGCACCTCTGTTATGATTTTTAAAAAGCTTGTTTCCTTAAAGATTTCTAAGCAGTAAAACGAGCCCTGATGCTATTTAGCTCAGCAGCAAAGGCATTTCAGCTCATGCCGCCTTCACATTGCTGGAGAGTTTCGTGATGTTGTTGCTGGGGGTGGGATAGTGCAAATTAGCAGAAATGAAGCAGTTAACGAGGCTGCAAGGAGGCTTGAGGCACTGATGGGAAGCAGCCGGGCGTGGGGCTGTGAAGGTGGGTGCTGCTCTGCCTGGCACAGCCAGCCCCTTCTCCTGCCTTAGCTGGCTAAACTGGGGACAGTGCGGATGCTCGGGAGGGTCCCATCCTGCCAACCCACAGGGCACGCACTGTGTCAGGCTTTGACCTGAAGGGTTTTGATGGTTTTGGTTTTAATTTTTAATATAAAATTACATACTGTTTAGATATGCTGGTCTGAGTGCTCTGCGAGGCCAAAAAGAGAATGAACGTGTAATGGACAGAGACATTGAAGTGATTTGAAGTTCCTCTTTTCCTCCCTATATCCTGAACCGGAGTTTGGTGGATTTTCCTAATGAGGACAGAAAGGCATTAAGCCATCCCTGACCCTCTGGGGGTCAGGGTTTTGATGCCTGTGCCTTAACTGCATGGCCCTGATTAGGAAGGAGTTAAGGCTGATTGAGCGTCACCCTGGGATTTAGGATCTGTTAGGTGGGCACAACTTCTGCCCTTCTTCGTGGTGGCAAGGGGCTGCAATAGAGGGGAGAATCCTTTAATGAACCTGCCCACTGGTTTTGGAGTGGGCAGCAGGCTGGTGTTCAGCCTGGAGGACCTGGTTTGGCTGCTGGCTTGCCTTTATCTGCGTGGTGAGGATTATTGGGAAGCCGTGTTGACAAAGGCTGTGGCTAAAATGGAAAATGAACTTCCACACAAAGATGGCTTGTTTGTGCAAAGCGGAGAAGGAATAAAGAGGCTGCCAAAAAAGCTGACATTAAACCCACTGCTTACCTGCAGCTCATCTGATACCATGACTGAAACCTTTCATTTGCAGCAACCTAATCCAAGATGTTCTTTCTGTAAAGCAAGAAAGTAGGTTATTGCTCAAGTGGAGCTGGGGAGGGGGAAGGAGATAAGCAGGCCTGATCCTGCCCTTTGAATGTGGCTGGAACCTGAGGTCACAGCCCCATTTGGGGGTTTTGGAAAGAGCTTGCATGCAAACCCTTTCCAAACCTTAGGCAATTCCCCAGTTTCTAGCACCAAGGGCATTTCCTAAGATGCTTGCTCAAGTTTAATAATTTTCTAAGGAACAGCTGATTCTGTCAATATGGTGGCATCCTCATGGATTTCACGGATGTTGGCAGAGCAGGATATGGCCCAATGTGGTCAGCCTCGCTCTTACAGCTCCACCAGCAAAGCCCCAAAAGTTTGATAGTCTCAGAAGCAGAAGGAGCAGTCTTGGGCATGTGGCCAAACTGCTGCCAAGGAAAATGCACGGGATCCAGTCCAGTATGGGCATCAGTATCTGCTGCTCCCAGGACTTCACCTGGTTTGTCTTATAAGGTATGGATTGGAGCTGTTTGCCTGCCAGAGATGGAAGAAGAGCAGCAGGAGGCTGAACTATTATGTTTCTAAGCATTTACTTAAAAAAATCTCCATTCCTAACTACCTAGTGCAGAGAAGTCAATATGATGGTGAGTCAGGTCCTAATTTCTGCAAGCAGGTGGTGCTCCCCTGCACCCCAATGCTTTCCTGTGGCCGGATGGCCTGTTCCAGCTGCCGGGCTGTCTTGGCTTTCCTGGGGCGCAGAGAAAGCCGCACGCTTTGCTCAGCAGCAGTGAAACTCACCCCTCTGCAGCACCAAGCAGATCCAGCACTATTTCTTTTCTTGTCTTTAGAAGAGCACAAAATCACCTGGCTGCAGCTGCTGCTTGATTTTTAGGGTCCAGCATCTGCTGCTTGATTTTAGCCATGGTTTTGTACCAGGATCTTTTCAGATTAAGAAATCATACTGCCATCAAAACCACTAAGGCAGATCCCTCTTGGTGAGCTCCATGCACGCTCTCAGGGCTTCCTACATTCAGCCCGTCTCTCTTGGAAAGCTGCTTCTTATCCTGGGTGGCAGAGATAGGAAGTTCCACAAACACTGTCCTCTGATATTAAGGATATAAATTATTGAGCAGCCCAGCAGCACTGCCCTTTCACAAGGTCAGTGCTGAGAAATGTCTGACACCCTCTTTTGCCCATCATTCAAATGAAAACCTGATCGTACCACAGCTGCATGGGAAGGGGCTGGGATTGGTGAAGAGGTCTGTTGCAGAGTCCACAATTGCTGCTATGAAAACTTGCATTTTAATGCCACTTTCTAGATAGCTTTTTGCTGTGTTTCTCTGAGCCCCAGCCCAGTGCAGACCACTGCATGTGCTGTGCCTGGGACGTTTTACTGGTTTAAATAGTGCCTGTGCCCAACCTGTTCTGGAAAGAGTGCTTAAGGCCACTGATTTCAGCCTGACACCAGCTGCCCTGCAAGGAAATGGCCTTTATTAGGGAGATAAGATAATATGGGCTGTGGCAACACTTCCATCAGCCCCACTGGCATCCCAACTCCCCGATGTGCAGATGGGGGCATCTGTGTAGACAAAGGTTTGCTCTGAGTACCGGCAATAACCAAGCTGGTCCCCACAGGAGTGGATGTGCTGGGACACAGGACTGCTGAACAAAGGAGAAGCACAACCCTCCCCTCTTGTATCAGCCTCATCTCAAGCAGTCATTTGTATTAAGGATGGCCTGATTTATAACTTGGCTGGGATTAAAACACATTTCCTTCCACAGTGATTTTATCCAGGCTTTTCAAACCACTTCATGAACTCCAATAAATCCTTAGGAAGTCTCTGGCAGGTGGATGCCTTTAAATCTCCGTTATACCCTTGGCATTTGGCAAACTTGACACATCCAGCCTGGCTAAGATCTGGGGGCAGGTGATCTTCAAGCATTTTCCACTAAAGCTCCAAATCTGAAGCCTCTTTCAAATGTTTTAATGTAAGAAATCAGGCTATAGTGGTACAGAGTTGGGAAGGAGATGCAGGACAGATCCCAGGAGTCCTTCCTCTCTCCAGGCATCCGAAACACCTCTCCTTTCCCCCCTACTCTGCGTCATCATGCTGCCACCCCTTCAAGAGCAGAAGGATGCCGAAAAATTACAGCTAAAGCTTTTTCTTGTCTGCTCCGGCCACCTCAAACAACCTTCTGTTCAGATGGAAGCACTGAAGCATTTCTTAAAACAGCTCTTCCTCCTGCCATTAAATATTTAAGAGAGGAGCACTGGGGGAAACCATGTGCTTTTACCGAGGCAGGACGACACAGTCCTGGGAACCACGGAGAGCCCGATTGAAATAGTAATGAGATGGCAGGTGCTCACAAAGCACAGCTCAATTTTAGCCTCCCAATTGCCTCCCCTTGCTCCCTGCAGCATCCCCAGCATCACATCTGCATCCTAACAGCTCCCACACTGGCCCCAACGGCTGAACAAGCACCGAGGATCTGACCCAGCATCACCTTCCCACAGGTGCCCACTGGGGAGCTGCCTGGGGTGGGAAGGCAGGCAGGGGGACCGTTGTGTGCTCTGGGAGGCCATCCCTGCATCACAGATCCACTCAATGAAACCATATTGACCTGGAAACCAAGTGCTTGTCAAGCCTGATGGGAACGCAGCGGTGCCCGGGCAGGAGCAGAGCATGTGGCAGCCCCAACTGCCAGGGGGTCACGGCATCCCCACCAGCTGCTTTGTCTCCTCATCATCACCTTCCCTGCTCTGCCTTATTTTGTTGGGGTGGAGGGTGGCAGAGGGAGGGTGTTGGTGAGTCGCTGTGCTTTGCAGTTGCTGTAGCAACTGTGGTGTCTCTGGCGGCAGGAGCACACGTTTCCTGCAGCCAGCCAGAGTCTGTGCTGGCTACTTGCAAGCAGATTATTTTTTTTTCCCCTGTTAGAAAAAAAGCCTCCCTCTGCCCCCCCCATCAGCAACCAGAGCCCAGGAGGTGCTGCTGAGGCAGCAGCAGAGGCACGGTGTGGCCCACATGCTGAGCCCCAGAGGGATGCTGCTGCATCTTCCTGCTCCTGGGCCATCTTCTGCACATGAGTCAAAGCCTCAGCACCTCCTTCAGACCCTCTGCTCCCCGTGGGCTCCTTGGCAAGGACAACCTTTCCCTAATCCAGTCTCAAAGGCAGGGTGAGTTGCTGCAGCATCCAAAGCTCCTCCCCAGGGCAGCTCAGACCTGAATTCATTTCCACGTGAATCAGAGCATCTGTTTTGGGGGGGAGGGATCAGTCTGGATCAAAACACTCTCAGCAGCAGAGGATCAGCAGAAGCTTAGCCAAGTTACTTCCCTGATTCATGACTTTTAAATAATAGAGCCTTTTTTACAGGCTGGATTCACAGGGTGCCCATTTCCAGCCATCTTATAAGGCTTTGCCTCCTAAATCCCATCACTCCCCCATTTCCACCACCTTTGTACACCACAAGCCATGGAGCTCCTTGAGCCAGCCCTCTAAATGCTCTGGTGCCTCTTCTGCAAGCCTCAGCAACTTGGCCATAGCACTGACGTTTAGCCTTGAAGCACGTTGCTCCAGTGTGCCACCCTTCTGCCAGGACTGTTCTTTGGTCACGAGCCACTGCAGGTACCCACATCTATTTGAAGCCCATCAGCCTGGTTTGGGCTCCACCCTGTACATGTGATTCATCTCTCTTTTCCTCCAGAAATGTGACTTTACGTTTCAAATAAAGCATATACTGCTGGCCTCTGCCCAACACATCCAAGAGTTCACATGAGCTGGTAGATAGGCAGGAGAAGAAAGCAAACAAAACTTGGCGCTAACCCTTCAGCGTTGCTCACCACCCATGGCTCTGGGTTTCATCTGGTTTGGTTTTGTTTGCAGAACTAAGCCCCAGCCTTGCACAGATGCAGAGACCTGCCCTGCTATTCCAAAGGTGACGAGCTCTGATCCAGCCTTTTCACCACCGGCCTTTGGGAGGGCTGTGGCTGTTGCCAGAGAGGGCAGGAATTGCAAGTAGGGTTGTTCTTCACGAGAGGGGGAGGCAAAAAGGGAGTTGCTCCCACCTTTAGAGTCCATCCTCTAAGCATTTCCTGGTGAGAACCAACCTACCTACCTTCTTTTCTTCCTCAGGTGGTCAGCTGTTGTCATCCAAACTAGGTTTTTTTCACCCCAATCATCACTCTACGTGCCATTTCTTAGCTGGCATTTTCAGGGCTGTGGCTAGAGCTTTACGTTCCCTGGGAAGTTTTCTTGAAGAACAGGTTGGCCAGTTGGGGAATGTTTCATGGCTATTTTCAGCCTGGGACGTTTTCCCTTTTTTTCTTCAAAGGACAACAAAAAACCTGTCAACAAGTCACAAAAGAGTGATCTCAGTCTAAAATACGAGCCCTGGCACGGGAGGGCATTTGACTCAGAAGCCACTTCCCATCTTTGGAGACTTGAAGTATGTTCCACTTCGTCATCCCGAAGGTCTTTAAATGCTTATAAAAACAGAGTTTATTTATCCGCAGTCAGAACAGCCTATCTATTATCTTGAAGGCTGAATTCAGAAAGTTTCTTCAGAAATTTATTGGTTTCATTCCTACCAGTCTGAACAGAAGTTTTCCACAGAGTCTGTCAAAATACAAATGTCTCAATTCCAATTTCCTTCAGTCTTTAGCAAGACATCACATTAATTGTGTTAAAAAGCACTTTTATTAGTTACTGAGAAAGCAGGAGCCTGGCAGCTCTTTTTGACCACTAGCTATTCACTTTTGTGAAGTCTCCTTTAACAGTGGTTTCATCTAATGCAGTGGTTTTCTCCACCAGCAAACTCAGCAGTGCCTGGAGCCAAAGGGACCAGCTCCAGGCAAGGATTATTGGCTTCGGGTCTCAAGGGCTCCTACTGATGCTTGGGCAAAGCCTTTCTGTCCCCCTCAAGGCTTCTCACATCCCCACCATCAGAAAAAATGGAGCAGTGGAGGCACATGGTCAGCCTGAGGCCAGGGAGATCCATGAGAGCAGGCATAAATATATACAGATTGGGGCAATTTCTTCTACACCTGTGGTGCTTTCAAGAGGACTTAGGGAAAGATCTAACAGCTTGTAGAAGCTTTGGTTTTGTCTGATTTTGTGTATGGCTTGGTTTCGGCCAACAGCTCAACCTAGCGATAATGTGACATCTACTTCATAAGGGAAAGATGGTCATGAAAAAAGCCAGCAATTCCCAGTCCTGCCCCAATTTGATCTCCATGGGATGCTCTGGGATTACTCCTGCCACCATTTGGTCACACTGGAGCTGTGCAGGCAGCCAGAAACCCAAACTTCCCACCTGATTCCTCACATCAGGCCTCCCAACTTCCTTTATTCAACACCAGAGCACACAGAGCAGGACACCCACTGCGTGTCTCAGCACATCAGCCAGCTGGAGGATGCCCACAGTTCCCTACCATACAAGCACCATGGGGAGGTACAACTAGGTTGTTAGCATTTAATGGAAAAACTCAGCTCTACTACATATTTGCTGTTGTCCCATTCTAAACAAGGTGACAGACATTAAGTGGCATTAAATGACAAAAATCGAGGTTGGACTTTCCCTCCTGGCATTTTTTTTCAGAGCCCCCAATACCACACCAAGCTGAGTCCCCGCTTATGCTTCAGCTCTGAAAAGACTTTAAGGAGTCCCAACACACACACACACACAATCCTGTGGAAGAAGCCAGTCCTCTGATAATTGAGATCTTAATACTGAAAGACTGAGCAGGTTTCCCTCAGCTGTCACAGCTTGGCCATGGAGAGCTTATGAAAAGAAAATATATAAATTGAGACTTACTTGAAATAGCCAGCAGGTCGAAACCTGGAGATTTCTGGAAGCAGCCATGCTGGGAAGGAGCACTTGTTAACCAGCTGGTTATAAAACCCCTCTTATGGTCATGTCTTGCTGTAAATACATAATCATAGAATCACAGAATGGTTAGAGTTGGAGGGGACCTTAAAGATCATCGAGTTCCAATCCCCCTGCCAGGGGATTGAACCCCTCTAGGGATGGGGCAGACACACCTTCTCTGGGAAACCTGTTCCAGGGTCTCACCATCCTCACAGTAAAGAATTTCTTCCTAATATCTAATCTAAATCTCCCCTCTTTCAGTTTAAAACCATTACTCCTTGTCCTATCACTGCACTCCCTGATAAAAAGTCCCTCCCCCAACGTTTCAAGTTGCAAATATTGGCAGGGCTGGTAGGATTGCACCCATCCATCTCCAGAATCACCTCCATATGCACACTCACCCCATCATCTTCCAGCTGAACACATGCAGACACTTCGTGTACAAGGATGGCCAGGACAAGCACAAGTGAGAGCCCGAGATACGTCGTCAGCAAAGATGTTCCTGCAAAAATTGTTTGTTGGACACTCAGGTACCTGTGGAAAGATCCACTGGTCAACAGAAACCCAGAGAAATGAGCTTTCAGACAGGAGGAAAAGCTTTGCCACCCAAAAAGCCCATCCCAGCTCTTCTCAAAACCCTCTTTGATCCACCATCCGCTTGAGACAAACTCACCTGGGGAAAATTAATTCTCTTAGTCTTGAGGATGGCTATCTGATTGCCAAATCTTACAGCTCTGGGAGGCATGAAGCATCTGAAGATATTTTGATAGAAAAATACATTCTCAACCTCCCTTGCTATCAGAGTGCCCCAGAGGATCTAGAGATCTCTTACCTAAAAGAGTGCAAAGGATCAATACCAAAGGCCTTCATCCAGCACAGGCCCTTCATCTCTTCCTTTAATTTTAGGCCTCAACTCAAAATTTTAGACCAGAGATGTGGCAATTAGAGGCTAATCAAGGTCTGGTCACGGTGTCTGCACAGGACATGGCTCCTGCACAGGCAGGCGAGCAAGCACCAGTGCAAATGTTTGCTGGAAGGACCTCATTTTCCATAATTTAGTCCAATTTTGCTTTCAAGGGCTGGCCTAATCATGATTGCTGGAGGCCAGATGGTGCAATTCATTGGGTGCCAGAACCTGATGCTCTCACACGTGCTGGTTTTACACCTGTATTATTCACTGGCCTCACCAGAGCCAGCCCTGACTTCTCCTGGCTGGGTGGACAGAGTGGAGAATCAGGCGTTTCCATTATTTAGCCCTTGGACACGGCCACATCCAGCCTGAAAAACAGCCCTGTCACATGCCCTTTGCGCGGCTGGGGAGAGCCTCAATTACACAGCAGTGGCCATGCATGGGCCACCAGCCCTGCTGTTTACAGGAAGCACCAGCACAGAGCATGGAATTAGAAAGACCGCAAGGAAGTGAGGGATTATTTGCTGGCGATTAAAGGACACAGAAAAACCACAGGACAAATCAGTGGGGCCTAAGCAATGGTAGCTGCTATTTCAGTCTTCCAGCTGCTGGCATTCATACCGGCCATGCTATGACCGGAGAATTTGGGAGGAATTCAGCAGGATGAATGGTTGCTCTGCTTTTGGACCAGTAAAACACACCAAAGAATAGGCCTTAAACCTGCTGGAAGGACAGGAGGGATCTCTGGGTCCAGTCCTTCTCTTCTTCAACCATTCCTGCGAGCCTTGCTTCTCCCCATGTGTGATTCCTGCTTTTGGACTGCATCTCCAGGCCAAGCAGCTCTGGCCAGACCTCCCTGCTGGCAAAGCCACTGGGATGTGCTGATGGGTTAGCCCAGATTAGTCAAGATAAAGCATCTCCTCAAACCTGAAAAGCAGGGTGAGCATTGAGGTCTGATATCTCAAGACCTTCAAGACAGATGCAGTGCCAGTAAAAGCTGGTGTTTCTTGGAATATCCATGGAAAGTGGGGATGAAGGTTAATCCTGATCTTCCAATCCAGTCTAGGCCACCCCCTCTCAAGACCATTTCTTCTGCAGGCTTTTGCCTTTATTTTAAGCATCCACAATCTCCTTTCCCTATCGAAAGTTCAAACCCATCAGCACGGTCTCCAGTGGGAGGTGATGCAGGCAGAGCTTGGAGCCAAGCAGAGACACCTTACAAGTGACAGGACACCCTTGGTTTAAGTACCCCTGTCTGACTGCCCATGAGCCCACCTCATTTTTGGATTTCAGTGGTTGCTCACGAGCTCTGAAATTTGGGCTGTAACTGGATCAGGCCTCATATCAGTGTGTGCCAACCTCTACCTGCAGCTACACAACTGCTGCTCCTGTGGCTCTCCAGGATGGCCACGTACTAGCCTGCACTTTCCCAGAAAACCCCACAAGATTTTCCAAATGCTTGGATCTACTTTTTCTAGCATTTTGCTCCTGGCAGGTTGCAGTGCTGCCATCCTTAACCCACAGCCACACTGGAGATTTTGCCCTCACCAGTCTCCTGTCACTGGCAGGGAGTTTTGGGGTAGCAGGTAGCACCCAAACTCCTCCACCAAGCCCTTTCACAGGGAGTCAGGCAACTCGTTTGCTGCCTCTCTTTTGAAAGACATAGATGTCACTTTGTTCTCTCCCTCTCCTGACCTCTGCTGCATTTCAATGCCACGCAACATCGGGCCACAAAGCCACGTGCCAAGTAACAGCATCCCCCGTCCATCCCCACCATTGATGCAGGTTGAGGTCCCACCACCACCTCCACCAAAACAGCATCTCCAGCCCTTTGCGCTCAGCGCGGGGTGGTGATTCAGCCCTGACTCAACGGGAAGGTGGCCATGGACTGAAACCCCAGCCCTGTTCCCTGCACGGTCCGCGGTTAACATGATCCTGCTGGAAATTACAGAGCTCCAGCAAAGGCCAGAGGGAGGCTCCCCTTGGCAAGGAGGAGCCCACAAGAGGCTCCCACTGACATTCCTTCCTTCTCCCTCGCTCTGCATCCGTGCGGTGGAGCGAACAGGAACGGCACATTGCCTTCATGTTTGACCCAGAGCGGTGCTTGGCTGCTGGTGCCGTACCACAGGCTCCGTCTGGAGACCAAACAGTAGCTCAGAGGGTTTGTCTTTTTTTGTTTTGTTTTTTGTTTGTTTTGTTCTCCCTACAAATAGAGAGAAAGGATGAATGAGCTTATTTTACAGCCTCAGAGGAATACCCAGCCATTGTTAGCTTGACACATGCTGCAAAAAGTGATGGCTGAGAAAATAAAAGCTTATTATTTCCTGAATGGGTTGGCTGAAAAAAAACCCCACCCCACCCCAAAACCCCTTCCATGGGCCACAGCAGCATTTCCATCAGCTACGTGTCTGATCCACAACCCAGTGATTTCCAGAGCAGGACCTGCCCTGCTGCACGTAACAAAAGGAAAGTGAAGATCCAGGTTTATACCATTTTTGAGGATTCTGAAGCACACCGTGCACCCAGCCCACCTGCCCGTTGCAGGTGCCACCCAGCACCATGTCCCCATCCTGGGCTTGCAGCTGGAGGAGGGGAGGCAATATTATCCTCCTGCAGACACTAATGTAGAAACTCTCCAGAATATCTCCTTCTCTCAATTCTCTGCATCTAGAAAATGTTTTTACAAGGTCTAAAATTCCTCAGTTCCAGCTGAGGCTCAGACACCTGTGATGCCTTATCATTTCAGAGATGATGAGACACTGAACGTGACAACCTCTGCTTCACAGAACCAGCATTGCCAATAAACAGGTTCAGTGGCACTCCTCCCCTTGGAGAGGAGGACTAAGAGCCAGGGCACGCAGAGAAAATAGCCATTCCACAGCTGCTCAATTAATTAACTCAATTAATTTTGACCAGGCCCTCTTGAGTTATTTCACTGCAGCCATCTCTGCTGGGAGAGCTGGGCGCCGTCGCCTGCTGCAGCCTTGTCTCAAGCAATAACCTGGCTCCAGAGCTGTATTTCCCTTCACTCATCGTACAACTTGCTTCTGACACCAATTCACATAATTGTCCCTATTATTGAAGTGGTAAAATCAACCTTAGGAGCTCAAAGTCCTTGAATGGAGATTCAGAGTTCAAAGTCTGCAGCTGTCTTGTGTGGTTCAGTGACATATGAAGGGAAGGAAAAAAAAATCCCATTAATAGAATAAGTCCTCAATAATTTCACCCAAACAAACTTCCCACCCAAACCAGTGCTTTTCAAAAGACTGATTTAAAAAAAAGGCAGGAAATGCTAGTGAATATACTCCTTTCCTGTCGCAGCTGCAATTCCGCTGTCAAACACATCTGACTTCGGAGACTGGCTTGGATTTATACGGCTGCATGCTATTTTTCCTGCTTTATTCAGTGTTCAAAATGGCTGCAAAAAGGAGCTAAACCAGAAGGCTGGTGATGCAGTCCTGGATGCTGAGCCATCGATTCCCTCTGTCCTCTAGCCCTGCGTCCACAGGGGTCCTGGGAGCAGCGATGGGCAGGACAGAGGTGGCTGAGATTGTGTCTGGGACCCTTTCCTTCCTGCTGTTAACGTGTGCATCCGCGGGTGCGTTAATTTAAAGAATAAACAGTGACTTTTTTTTTTTTTTAGGTCTATAAAATCAGGAGACCAGCTCCTTTACTAATACCAGCAGAGAGCAAAATGGGGCCCAGGCAACGTTATCAGCTGTGGTTCCAACCACTGGTCTGTCGGAGAAGGGATGCACCACAGAGGGGATGAGACCTCATCTTTTATTAAAGGCAGCTGCATACCCATTCACAGCTGCAGAGTGTCCTTAATAGCAAAACCACCGACTAACCTCTTCCAGGGGTTAATGCTTGAACAAATTACAGTGAGGAACAAAAAAAAAAGGGATTTTGCTTTAACTTGGAAATATTTTTTTTTTAATTTTTTTTCTTTTTCGGACCTATTAAATGGCCAAAGCTTTTAGCTGTGCTCTGCAGTCTGGCGAGAGCCTCCCCATGCTGGTGCAGCCGCCGGGTGTGCTTCACCATCCGGCTGCTTGGGGAGGGGGCGAGAGGAGGAGAGAGGTGGTGCAGGGGGGGACGTATCCACGAAATACCCGGTATTTCATGGATTCCCCTGCACTGAGCGGGGAGAGGCAGGCTGCCACGGGAGCCTCATTATGTAGAGGCACAGGCAGGGGACTGGCTTGGTGACAGCAAGTCTGCTCAGTCGCAGATCAAATGGCTTAATAGGAACTGGATCCAACTGGTCCAGCCTTGCGGGTTTTGATTTAAACTGCAGTTATAAGGTGTGATTAGAGGCGGGGGACACTGTGCCAAGAGCTCAGATGTGAAGCAAAAAACATATATTAAAAAAAAATCCTTCCCCTAAACCTATACATATTTTTCTGTCGTTAACTGTTTGCCTGCCACTGCCAGACACCCGAGGAAATGCTGGGCCATCCGAGGACACCTTCAGTACCGCTGCTTAAATGCGAGGGCTGTAAGAGCTCTGTCAGCACCGCAGAGGAATTTGGCCACTGAAGTACTAACATTTATGGGGTTGGTATTAATAATAACCACAGCAGAGCTTCGTAGGGACCGACAGTCTTTCCTTCCCCTGCACCCGAGAGCAGAGGAAGTAGATGGCTTCCCTGAAGCCCCTGCAATGGCCAGCGATGGCTGGAGCAGGGGCTGTGCTTTGACTGCCTTCTCTTTGGGTTACTCCTATACGGTGGAGAAGGAGGCAGTGCTTTTCTGGAAACGGTTAAACAAGGTCCCTTTTTCCTATCTCCACCTAGTTGCCCAAAACTCAATAGTTAATTTGGCCAATAGAGACCTTTGGAGATATTAACACAGTTCAAACCTTCAGCCCATATGGATAAAATCGCAATTCAATAAAATTGCTGGTTCTTTATCTTCATGTGGCATCATCACGCAGTTAATTTCAAGCTTTCCAGTAAGCTGTAATATATCTTTTAACCTAAGAGCTCTTTTGCATGACACTGAAATAGGTCCCAGTCTATATACATCTGCTGCCAAGACAAATGTATGGTTCAGCAGCAGTAAAGAGGATATAAAAGACTCCCACGTTACAAATGTAGGAGGAGAGGATATTTTAGCATGGCAGTGGTTACACTTTTGGCAGCTTTGCTATAATAAACTTTGTTTTCAGAGCCTTAAAATATTCCCTGTGCAGTGAAGACTGACATATTTGCTTTCAGCAGAGCTGTCTCAGGGGCCAGGGCTGATGAACGGAGCTCAGGAATATGGGGGAACACAAAGAAGACGGAGTTAATATCACTCTATATTTAAACAGGGGATTTCCTCACAAAATGCAAATATTTATTACAAATGCCACCAGGTCCTGGTAGGACTATTTCCATGAATGCAGATGGGCACTCAGGAGGTACCTTCACACAGTGTGCCGAACCCCAGGGCTGTTTCAGGAGCTGGGGCCAAGGGAAAGAAGCTGAGAGAGCTGGCCAAGGGCAAAAAATATGAGGGAAAAGGGATGTAAGACACCAACCTTGTGTAGGAAAAGGCTCTGGAGGCCTCCACTATCATCTGATAGAGATCTCAAGTCATCTGCCAGGATGCCACTGCTGGGTGCCCATCTGGACCTGAGATGTTACTGCCTTGAAGGGCATGGACCCCCACGTACAGCTGGCAGGTGGACATTAGCTTCCATGTCTCCCAAGTCAGCCTGGACTCAAACAATCCACTCAGGCACTGAGTTACCTAAGGAGAAAATTTGCAAGGGCAGCTCATACCTTAGTGCACTCTGGGATGGCAAGAGTGGCTGTGAGACTTTTGGTCCAGGAAATTTTTTGAGCAGAAAAGGGGAGTTTGACTCATGCAGCTGATGGTAAAAGGAGGCAGCAGTGACAGCACCACAACTCAAGAGTTGTTGCCTTCTCCTGCCAGCTCTCTGCCTCCCCATCAGGAAAGGCAAGGTTGTCCTACAGGTCCCCAGATGCTGTCACTGTGATTCTGAGGGCAATGTGCTCTGTGAACGACCACTGTTTCACTTCGCTCTGGGAACACAGCCCAGCAAGGAAGGACACAAGGAAGATTGCTTTGAAACTTTGGGATGGAATTCCAGACCCTTAGAGCCTTGGCTTAACAAGAGGCAGAGCAGAGAGGAGCAGGGGAGAGGTGGCTTCCTACTACCTCCTGGTCCCTGTACCCCCCAATGACATTTCCCAAGGTCCAACCTGCAGCAGGAAAGGGGTGAAGTTTTTGTCTGATTCGGATCAGTTTGAACCATCAGTTTCTTGCAGAAGGGGTACCTAAGAGTTTAGATGGGGCAGGTGTGAATAACAAAGCAAGCGTGAAGCCATGCTCTGCACAAGAAAATAGTGGGAAATGGGCAAATATTGACCTAGCCCAGGGCATGGGCTTAGTATCAAATCCAAGAGGAGCTTCAGTAAGCGGATCCAACAGGACTTCTCTGTGTCAGGTGCAGTCCAGACAGCTAGAGATTTCTGTGGGTATGGAGGGCCAAGCTTAATAATGGAGCAAATAACTGAACAATGCCGTTTTGTGATGTTTTATGTACATATACAACCCCAGAAATTCAACCTTGCCAGTTACATTTTCTAAACCAGCAAGAAAAAAAGACTTCTCATCATCAAGCCTCCTTAGAAAAGCTCACTGCTACTTGTGCTGAACTTGGATGGGGTCTTGGCATGGAGGATTTTGAAAGCATGTGATGGCATTATAGTTTCATGCTAATCTGTCTTTATTGTGTGCTATTAATAATAAATAAAAATACCAGCTTCCTAATCCACAGGTTACTAACTGTGGGAAAACGGTGTTTGTCAGGGCCTTAGCAAGTGCTTAAGTGTCACACTTTTGTATTTATTTACCAGCAAGTGAATGTATAAACACGTTGTTACTAACCTGAGTATCTGGATTGCAAAACCCACGCAGGGCAGGACAAAACCCTCACGTCTTCAGGAGAAACCCTGCACCACACATAGCTGCAGTTGTAGGGCTGCGCAAGCGGTGACCCGACCCCTCCTGTGCATGGGCAACTGAGGGGGCTTTTGGCAGTGCCTCACCTGTGGCAGGTTTTTTGGGGATTCCTAAGGAGTTAAAGAGAAAAAAAATCAGTTATTTTGATAGTAGATCAAGTATCAAAGGAATAAAAATAACCAGGTACTTTTGCAAGCTGCAGGCTGAGCCCTCTAACACAGAGCCAGGTGTATATTCCTGCCTGGGGTGAAACTCCCCCCGGTTCAAAGAGGCAGCACGACAGCACTGGGGCTCTGATCTCCACAGATGTGCGAGGCCCAGGAGAAGGTCTTGATCGCAAACCTCAGAGAAATGTTTTCATCTTATTTCCCCTCTCCAACCAGCAAGGTGAGGCAGTTCTAAGGGGAAATCCCACACAGAACAAGAAATGCTTTCCTCCTCTTATCTTTGCAGCACAGGACATGGAAACAAATGACCTCTCAGATGCAAGCCATGAACAAGACAGTGAGTGTCTTCCACCAAGTCCTCCTGCAGAGACGCTCCTGTCCTCTCTGCACACACAGCAATGGGGTCCTGCACCCTTGGAGGGAGGATGTGTTAGCCAACATTTTGTCAACCAGTGAATAAAGACAAACTAGTCCTAGAAATAAACCTAACCCCTGTCTCTGCTCCACTGAACAAACTTTCCTTTGAATACCTCTCACAGCGAGAAGATGCCTGGGCTCAGCCTCTGCTGATCCTTCTGTCCCAGCATACGGCGGGGCACCAGCCACCCACTCCTAATTAAGTTGATGGGTAACTCAGCAGTACAAATCACCTCAAGTTACCTTGGCCCCGGAGCACAGCGGATCCTTCCACAATGAAACAGCACGGCAGGAATTATCCCAATCCATAATTGCTCCAAGCAGACAATAAACCAGCTCATGCTGGTGGAAGTAGCCACTCGGAGGTAATAACCCAGTGAGTAACAATAATGGCAGCAGATACTTGATAAAAAGCAGGGAACAAAAGAGAAAGCTTTCTCCATTATACAAAGAACGGATGTTTTCTGTTTGCTTCCTTTGGTTCAGAAATGCATTTAGCTATTTGGAGAGCGATGGAGCACAGCTCACCCGCACGCACAGCTAAAGCGTGTTTTGGGCTGGGGGAGGAAAGGATCGTTTCCACCAGTGAGATCATGGGCAGGAAAATTAGTTTTCTCCTTTTAATCTTTTTTTGATTTCTACCCAGCCACCGTTCAGGCATTGTATTTTTCTTCAAGAGAAATGTCTGTATGTTGGGGAAAAAAAACCCCAAACCTTCTCTGGGGTGGTTAAAAAACAGGGCACTGAAATACAGATGTGCTTGTTCCCCCCATATATACCCTCTGAGTGCCCAAAACTGGGCAATGGGAGGGATGAGACATGCTCATCTGAGGAAAATCCCTAAAACCAGGAGCTTGCATGTGCCTCCTGTTTCTGGTCCTGCACGTGGCTTGAGATCCCTCACTGCCCAAGCCCCTCACCCTGTAACTGCTGGCCCACAGCTCTGCTCCCCTGGCCCAAGCCCAGAGGGGGGCTATCACCCACCTGTCCCTGCTGAATCGGTCTCTGAGAGCAGGATGCCGGGCACCAAAATGTAAAAGATGGAATAGCAAAACCCGGGGGGGGGGATCTGCATGGGGTTTAGAGACCCAGGTGACCAGGTGGGCACAATGCGACCACCCTCCAGCCACGCTGAGGTTTGCTCTGCAGAATAAATAAGCCTGAAGACAGCCATCTGCAGTGAGGAGCTTACCAGGGGAAGGCTCTGCAGGACTGCAGAGGCTAAGCACTGCTCATTAAAGTGCCGGGGAAATGTGAATGAAGCAGATGAATGGATGAAGAAATGAATGAAGGAGGGAAGAGGAAGTGAATGAATATTACATTGACTTGGTGCCTTTCATCCTGGGATGGCGAAGCTGTGCAGCGCAGCTGATGGGCAGGAACCACGTCGGTACTCCCTGGAGAAACCCCCGGTCAAAACAAATCAGATTATTTCCTGTTGACAGAGCCCTTCAGGGGGAGGTGAAGGGGGAGATGTGGCATATGGATTCCTATTACTCAAAGCACGAGGCTTTCCGCAAACAAAATCCCCCCGATTCCCCCTTAATCAATGTGACAGATCATTACTTTTTGAGTTGCTCTTGTTCTTGCTATTCCAGACACTGCCTGATTTCCATGGCAACGACATCCCAGCCATCCCAGGCCTTTTCCTAACCTCTGTCATCTGCTGTCGAGTCACAACAGTGCATAACTGGGAGAGATAAGCAGCTGGGTCACGAAGGTGCCTTTTGGCACTGGGGGAGCTGAAGACCCCCCCTTTTCACCTCTCTGCAGCCCAACCCTGCGACCCCTGGGAATGTCTTGCAGCCAAGCATGTAAGCCACGGGGCTTGCAGGCAGCAGTGGGGGAGCACGCAGAAATGAAAAATAATTTTCTGGAGGTTTTATTGTGCTCTTCTGGAGTACAAGCAGCTGAACCCACCAGCCAGCCTGACTGCGACCAGGTTTCAGGGTGGTTTACGTGGAAGTGATGGGAGGGAGCAAGTGAGACGCTGCTGCTCACTTGGTGATGCAGAACAGGGTCGGGACCAAACCCAGGTGCTTTGGGGAGGAAAAGGAATCCAGCTTCACTTCTGGTTTGGAAGAGAAAGCGTGCTCTATTCTCTTCTACCTTCTGAAGGAAAAACTGGCCTGGGGTGTGATCCTGATCCTCAAGTGCTGCAGTTTTGCGTGCAACTTGGTGTGACTGCTGCAAGCAGCACACACAGACTCAAAGGAGCATCCAGCCCCGCTCAAAACAGTGCCTCTGGTCACCCCTCAGTGCCAGTTTGATCCCTCTTGTCTGTATGATCTCGGGGTGTCCCTGCAACATCACCCAGCTGCTCCTCTGGCAGCCGGCTGCTCATGGCCCCAACGCTGCCGAGCACGGCTGTATGAGCCATTTTGCAAGAGTGTAGCAGGATATTCAAGGCCGGACACAAAGCTCGAGGACCATCTGTGGGCTTCAAGTAGGTTTTGGAGCTGATCTCAAGAGCACAAAGCCTGCCCTGCACGGGGGTCCGGGTAACATAGACACTACCCTGCTGAATGAACCGGTGCCGCAAGCCTTGCTCACATAGTAACCGCCTCCGCTGCTGGCAGGAGCTGGAAGCAAATTGTTTGTTTTTTCCTTTTTCACTTATCTTGCTCCCTCTGGCAAGCAGCTTCCCTTCCGAAAGGCCAGGGAGGATTTGGGGTTACTGAGTGCCACTGCCGAGCCAGAGCATCTCCCACCCTGCTGCTGGGAAGGGGCTGCGGTACAGCACGCAGGGACAGACGGGCATCTTTGTCCCTTCTTCAATCCAATCACCCTTTTGGTTCACAGGTTTCACCCCGACCCAACAGGGTTTCTTCCTGCCAGAGGTTTGCAGCCCTGCCTCCGCAACAGCCTGCGTTTTTCATAAGCCGCGTTGAATTTCATGGCAACCCTGCAGAGTTATTGCCCTATAACAAACACAATTACTGCACTAGATTAAGCCACACCGCTTATCGCATCCAAATATTAACGAGCACCAAATGTAGGGCACCGGGCCTGCTTCCCCATCTGCCCACAGGGAGTTTGGCCACTGGGTTTGGCAGTTGCAGGACTGGACCCACACAAGGGGATCCATTTGCAGACTGGGCCAGCAGCTTCCTTGAGCAAGGTTGGCTGCTCAAAAACTCTGTGCTGGAGTTTTTACAGTTGCTTGAATAAAAAACATTTATTTAGCTGCCCTTCACACCAGGACAAAAGAGGTACTTGGTTGTGCCATAACATGAGCTGAATTGCTTTACCTGACTGTTAATGCTCTGGGCTTGGTTCTTGGTTGAATTTGGGACCAGTTCCTTGGCCCTGCTCTGTGAAGCAGCTGGCTGGGCTTGGAGGTAGCATCCGTGCTCACACCACAGTGACTTCCCGGAGTACTTCAAGACAAACTGCTCCATGGAATACACCAGCCAGGCAGCCAGAGCCAGGACATCTTTGGTGCTCGTGGGTCTGAGAGGGGACATACCCTGAGGAAGAGAAGGGAGTGAATTTCTGTAATGTTGTCAGCCACCCTGCAGGAGCCACTCCTGCTGATGCAGGGCTTAGCACTGAACCCAAATATATTCAGACAACTTCATCAAAAACAGAGGTTTTAAATAAATAATGTGGTAAAACCTAGATCTCTGTTCTAATTAAAACAGGGTAAAGAGCTGTAACCCCTGGGGTTTATAGGAGTTATAGGAGTATAGCCCCTGTAGAGAGCTAGGAGTATAGTCCAGGCCAGAGGTTAACCCCTTTGCCAGATCTGCAAAGGGATGGGTGACCCTGGTGACATCCAGCCCACAGAGCTTTTGGGAAGAGGGATGGCTTTTTGGGCGACCCTCCGGGGCTGCGCAGGCAGGACCAGAGCTGAGCTGCTCCTTTTCAGCTTAACACCCCCCGAGCAGCTCAGGCAGAGCCAGCCCAGGCTGTGGGGAGCTGGAGCCCTGCTCCCTCCACCCACACGGACACCGTCTGGGAGAGAGGAAGAGGGAAAAAAATAAAATAAACCCAACAGAAGACAAATTGAGACTTACCTCGGTGTTTTCGCCTGCCACCCCCGTCGTTCCCCTTCAGCCTAATCATTCTCTTCCTCTTCAATCAAGGCCAATTTGCAAGAGGAGCAGCTCCCAGCGTCTGAGTGCAAAAGCCTTTAATTACTGTCATCTGGGAGGCTGTGCCAGGCTCCCCTCCGGTGCCTTTTCATATTTTTCGGAAGACAGTGCTCCAGGACCTGACGCCCCCAACATGCCATTTGTCAGGCTTTATTTTAAAGAAGCACTCACTGCCTATTAGGAGGCTGGAGAGAAAGTTCCTGGCAGTCCATCTGTGCTGCTGCTGCTGCATCGACATGGCGATTGCATCCGGGCAGCGAGCTGATTTTGGCTGCCTCGCCTGGGTACCAGCCTGGCAGCAGTCTCCTGTGTGTGGCAGCTCACAGACCCCACGAACTGCCTGGCTCACTCTCTTCACTGTCTCTCCTCCTGTTTCTCCACTGGGCTCGCATCAGGCATTAAACTGGGGATGGAGGTGAGAGTATAAATGGGGTCAGAAAGGGACAAGACAAACTCAGGGAGACCAGGCTGACTGTTAACTGAAGTGCCCCCACTCCCTCACAAGTCCCCAAGCCTGTATCCCCGGGAGCACACTCCCCATGGGGATGCATGCTCCTTATGTACAGCATGGATTTTGGTGTCAGTCAGGGGTTTGTATTTTAACCTGCATGAGAAAAGATGAAAGCAGAACCTACATAAACCAATTTGGCACATCCAGCAAGCAGGAATGGGAAACCACCCTGCTGCTGCCTGCCCTGCCACGCTGCAGGCAGGATGCAGGGCTGGATGGCCCACTGGGGTGAGCCAGTATGAGTTGCCTTAAACACAGCCTGAGTTGCCTTAAATACAGCCTTGAGCTGACACCTGGGACTCTGCCAACCCAGCGAGCTCGCAGCTTGGGCTCAGCATACACTGAGATACACCGGAAAGGATGCCAGAAGGTTTCCAGATGTCCCGGGCCAGCACCCACGCGATGCGCTCTATGAATTACACCCACCAGAGCCATCCTTCTAATATTACATCTTTGGAGCATCACCTGTGGCAGAGAAGAGCTGCAGAGGAGGATTTCTGGGAGACTCTGCCAGTGGGTGGCACTGCAAAACCAGCAGTATGGAAGAAGCAGCAGAGCAAGGACTTCAGGGTAGAATGTACACAAGCACAGAGACAGACACAGACACACACTGCACATCTCTGGCTGGACAGCCTGAGGCATCGGATATGGATACAAGCATCGTGGGGATGCTCCAGCCTGGCTGGTGGGAGGAGGAAAGCTGCTGAGGTGGGAGAGGGATGGGCAGAGCAGGAGGTTAGGAGGCATCAGCAAGGGGCTTGAGGTGCTGGAGTGGTGCAGGCCAGAGGTGGCATACCCTCCATGGGTGCTGTGGGGTCAGCCCAGCAAGCAGGAGTGCCAACTGGCTGCTGAGGTCAGGATCAATCCACATCCACACGGGACAGAGCCTATTCATATAGACGTGATTAACCTTCTCAAAGGCAGGAGCAGCTCACTGGTTCCCCTGCTATCCTACTGTAATGTTTTCTCCACGGCTAAAAATAATGTAATATGTCACCCCAAAATATAAGGTCTCACCTCTGGGAACTAGACGGGCTCCTGCCCCCCACCCTCTAACCAGGTAAAGAACATGGGTATAAGAGCTTTTTAGCCATCTTGCCTGTAGGCACAAGACCCCTGGGAGCACCACAGCCACCAAAGATGTGCCACCAGCTAGCATGACCTAGTCCATGGGGGACTGGGAGCCTGGAGGGAAAGTGTGCTGCCCTGCACTTACGCCACCTCCTAGCCAAGTGGGAATGAGGGATCCTGGGGCAGCTGGGTAAACCTGCTGAGTGGTAAAGCTGGAGGCTGGCCTGGTCTGAGGGTCCACATTCAGGTCCTGCTCCAGTTCCAAAGTGGCCACGCTCCTGTGCCACACACCCCTCCTGGCACAGATTTCACCTCCCTTTGCACCACATCCACACTTGATGGTCTATCTCCAGCATTTCAGCGTTGCCTTGACCTGTTAATTCCCAGAAGGTGTCCAATCAGATTTCATATCCCATCCAGCTAAAAGCTCTCTGACCTGTCCAAGGCAGCAAATGCTCAGTTATTCTTCCTTTCACTAACAGACAATGAACAAAGAAGCATCTTCTTCCTCTCTCCCCACAATGTCCCAACAGCAGCTGGGAACCACAAAGCATTAGATGAACAGGCTTATGTATCCCCGATCTGACTCTAAGACCATGAGGCTTCATGCCGGGGGCCAGACACCTTCAAAAAGAAAGCCAGAGGGGTGGGGAGAGTGAGTTATGAAGCAAGAACCACCTCCCTTGGGCTGTGCAAAGGGAATTTGGCTCTGAAGGGCTGTAATATCTGCCTGGAGGACGGCAGCACCATCTGACAGCCTGTGCCTCCTGAGGAACAGCCACTGTTTCCCTACATGGCATCCACGCAGCCATCTCTGCTAACAGGTCTTTCTCCAGCAGGAGCAAAGGCTTCACCCAGAGTTCGCAGACTAGCCCGAGACACAGGAGTTCAACCTCAAAAGGAATTTGCTCCCATATCAAAGGGTTTAAAGATGTGGCATCAGGGCTTCCTCCTGCATGTTCCTTCCTCAGGGAACACGCTGACTGCCACGGCGGGGGTGGGTGCAAAATCCCATCTCCTGCCTGCCCACCCTCACGCTTACAGAAGTGCCGTGGTACAACCCACTCCAGGCCGGGGAAGAGCTTCGATCCGGCCCTTCTGCTGCAAACGGATCTGATTCGCTCCTGGCGCTGAGCACTCTGTAATTACAGTACATCCCACTTAATCGGGACATGCTTAATTGGGAAATCCACTTACCAGGATGTCACCTAGGGAACCGATTTAAGCTTGATAACACTTAAGAGCAATGCCTGCTGCTTTATAGGGAAGGTAATTCTCCTGCAGGGAGATGCCTTCAGGTGGCTGAATCACGCGCGTTCTTCCACCAGCACCCAATGCTGCTGGCTGCTTGTTCCTGCAACAGATTTCAGCCTTCCCCTTAAGTAGGTTACAGCCAGGAAATGCACCAACTGCTACTGCCAGCTCCAGGCTGTCCTCTGCACCAGCCTAACAGGTTGCCAATGCCACAGAGGCCAGCTCACGGTGTGTGGGCCCCCTTGGACCCACACACCCAACACGTCTGACCCCCTTCCCCGTTTGAAGATGGCTTTCCTCCCATGGCTGGGACCTTTTTTGAAAAGGATGACACGGTTAGGTTTGGCCAAGCTGTTCTTTGCAGCAGAAGAGGGGCCAAAGTGACTCAGCCATCACCTGAATCAGGGCAGAGCAAGAGCTTTGGAGACAACCAGCATCCCTTACCATTAACCCCAACACTTGTCTTCCTCCTCTTCTCTCCAACAATCAAACACATCAAATGCCCAAATAAAGAGAGGAAGGGGATATGGGAACAGCCCTTAAAGACTAATGTTGAGTCAAGCATTTGGAGTGTCCATGTTTTTAGCCTGGTTTCCTACGGGAAGGGGGCTTATGTGACCACACTGAGTATTTGTGTGTGCACATACGTGTCTCATAGATATTGCTGTTAACTGCTGAAACTCCTGAGCACCTTCAATCAAACTAGGCAGAGAAACAGCTTTTCCAAAGACAACAAATTCCCACACATTTTGTAGTAATAAGAGCCAGACAGAGGAGAAAAACCTTATGAATACCCAACCCCTCAGTAGCTCTCAGGGACTTGGGACTGCATTTTTGCAAGCCAAACCCTCCATGAACCACATTTCCTTGTTTGTAGAGGTATGCTAATTGCTCCAGGACCATTATTCCTCCAAGCTTTTGGCATTCCCTTGCTATCCCTGTCCTTTTTAATTGGACTACTTTTTTTTTTTTTTCCCCAACTGGGTGAAAGCATGCTGCTCCTCTTCCAAAGGCGAGCCCTTGGATAGAGGCTGCCTTTGCTACCGAAACATCTGTACCATATGGCAACAACACAACTTTTCAAGATGCTGTGCTGGTGGTTTTGTTCTCACCAACCACGAGGAGCTGAGGGGAGTCAAGCCAAAATCTTTGGATGCATAATAGTGATTGCCTTTCAGACACTAGAAAATGCAATGGCTTGGCATCAAATGAGGGATTTTTATGGCTGCACATGTTCTGTGCTTCTCTGAACAAGCCAACTTCCAGATTAGCTACATTGGCTTTTTAAAGTGCTATAAAATATGCAAAGGCACTTGCAATGTATAGTGATTTCTGGAAAAACAGGAGGTAAGTGCTGAAATGTCTCCTGATTTATCCTTTTGCTTCTCCTAGCCCATGCTGGGAGAAAGGGTAAATGCAATCCTCTACTCCCTTTTTGGCTTATGAGTCCTACAGCCCAGAGTAAATGGGAGACAAAATGCCAGGTACTACAGCACTTGTGCCTTTCGGCCGCTCTGATAACTGTGGAAGAGAAAACTCTCTCAATTCCCAAGTATCCCAACCAATGCCAAACACAGCAGACACCTTTCCAAGGTGCAACACAATGGGAGCAGCAAAGCTTGACTGTCACTTAGCTGGCAAAAGGCAGCACCTCCCTCAAAGATGCTGGATGGAAGGTCCAAAAGAGCAGATCACCACAATGAACCATGTTAGCAGGGTGAGGCCTTTGTTTTCACACCAGTAGGGTCACCTCCTCATCCCCTCCTCTTGCTCCTGCCCCTCTTTTCCTTCATGCTGATATAACACAGTCAGAAACCCCACGGTGCTGTGCCATGGGATTGCTCCCCCTGTCACCGGCTTGCGTTGGCTTAAGTATGCGTGCTTAACCATTACCAAGTGTCAGGTCCTCAACACAGATGTCTCAGGGGCTGGGCTTACTTTTTTGCTAAAACCAAGCCTTGCAGCAGTTCAACAAAGGAGAACATCCCAGCAACCAAGGCTGCCATTTTTTGAGCCTGGGTGGGAGGTATAAAGTATTAGTTCAAGCTCCATTTAGTTTGAGGAGAACAGTCCCCTCCCTTGGACCCAAGCTGTCCCCTTACCATCCCAGGGCTGCTTTCCTGGTGCCAAGGCAGTTCTGCCATTGGTGAGGACTCTGTGGCCACTGCGTGCCACCCAGTGCTACTGGCAATCAATGCTGTAGTCGTTACTGACCTCCACAAAGGCGAGTGTCGTAGCCCTTATCCATCTCACTGCAGTCAGGTTCAGACGAGCCCCTCTGGAACAGAGAATTGAGTATTTATGAGCTGGAAGTTTTTAAGTGCATGCCTTAGTGCCATGCATGTTCGAACCCATCCATCCCCCCAGAGCAACCGCAGCTCCCTTGCTGCCAGTACGAACAGGTAAACCCAACCGTACTGCCTCTCACATCCATTTTTACACATATATGAAAGGTTGCACGATGAGTTGGAGGGTCAGCAAACCTCAAATCTTTAAATTAACCTTGTACGTCTATATATAAAAGCAACACTTATCTTTAGCACAGTTTATGGGGCACGGATTTTGTGTGCGTTCTTAGGGCAAATTAAACATAGTTATTTAACAACTGCCAATAGAGCTCTTTGCAACCAGCAAAATGCATCACTACATCCTGAAAGCTGCTTAGTGTGACCAAGGTGAAAATGCAGATTGCTTTTTAAGATTTTCAGTGCGTTTGCTGTCAGATAAGAAGTACTAGGTCTAGTGCTGGCAAGTCAGAGCTGGCTGGACTGGGAACCTTCATGCCACCACCAGAATTATGAAGGCTCATTTGAAAACACCTCAGTTACTTGGCTGTTATCATGTCAGTAAGAGAAATATGATGGAAGGGCAGGAGATGTGGAAAAGGGAGAGCTTCCTCAAACATCACAAGCTCCATTTCCAAACAGATCTGCCCAAGCCATCCAGGACAAGAGCATCTTGTCTGAAAGTCACAGCAAAACCAAATCAGCCCCAGCCCTGCCTGACACCCTCCAGCCTGCATTGGCTTTGGGCCCCCTCTCCAAGGACTGATCAACTCTTGCCCCCCAGCTTGTGCCAGGACACCCAGGGGTGACAATTCAGGCGGTCAGAATAACATCAGGCTCCCACCGAGCCAGCTCTGTCACAGACACTCTGGTAAAAACAAGCACTGTACATGGGCACAAGATATGGTACAAAAAACACACAACAAAGGAAGGATCAAGACTTAAGTGCTAAGGGCTCCTTCATTTATATTAGCAGCTCCTGCTACGTGGTCCCCACTCCATCCTCAGGGTGCCAGAAGCTTTTTGGGGGTGACACAGAGGCAGAGCACAGCAGAGAAGCTGGATGAGCAGCTCTGACTCTCCTGCTGAAGTCCTGGGACCTCAGCATCTGTCTTTTTGTTTTTGAAAAGACTGGGGATACAAATACGAGTTTTCCAGCTAATTGCAGAGACCTAGAATGGCAAAACTTAGCAATATTTGCTAATTGCAAATATTTGAAGATCTGAGTCCAAACTGGACTGATGCACCAAGTGTAAACATGGGCAGGGGCAGGGAGAAAGCTCTAGGCACTCCAGCATCTCACGGCTAATTAAAGCTGGGAGGAATTTGTCTCAGCAAGTTGTGAGGCATTTACTTCTCTGGTATGACTAAGCCACCGCGCGGTATCTAATATACCAGGAGGGGTGATGTGCTGCCAGCTAACCATGTTCCTGCAGTCGAGGTGGGCTAATTGAATACAGTTTGATGCTCCGGGGCAATGCCTCTTGCCAGTTTACCTGCACCTTCCCAACCAGCCTTGCAAACAGCAAGACAACACACTGGGAATTTTAATTATGATGGAGTATTCAAAAAATCCTGACAAAATCCAAAGGCCTGACCAGAACGATGAGTTCTTGTGGTTTTCTGCATGGCTGTTTTTCCAGCAATGCAAACTGGGTTCTTCTCTTGCAAACAAGCAATGCTGGAACATGCTCTTACCACTCATGGGACCTCGAGGCTCCCAACCACCTCCAAGTGCTGTCTTTAACCATGGTAGGAAAGTTGCAGCTGCCTTGTCTTGCACTAGTGATGCAAATATCAAGGTGAATTTCTCCACAAATTACCAACAATTCTTCCCTTTGTCTCTGGCTCCAGCTGAAGAGAAGGAAGTCACTCCAGTAGGACCTACACATTTAATGGCAAAAAGATGTTTCTCAGAGGCTACAACTAAGTTACAACAGATGTTGGATTTTGGGAACTGCCCTCTACTGCTCTCCTTGGGGAAGGGTGGAGGAACTCCATTTCATTCCCCTGTTGTTTCCCTGGGCTGAAATGGCTTTTTTCCTTTCTTTTCCAGCCCAACCTGACTCACAAGCTGGGCTGATCCCAGTTGTCATCTGGCCCCATTTTGCAGCTATGCCAGTTTTGGTTCATTTGCTGAAGCTTCAGCATGGCACAAGGGGCTCTGCCCTGGGCAAGGGCAAGAAACCAGCCACCTTTCAGGGTTTCCAGGGGGTCACCCCTGTGCTGACAGCCTCCAGAGGTCCCTTTCTGAGCACTTGGGAATCCCCACCTGCCCCCTTTCCCCTGGGACAGCCTGCACAGAGGGGAGGTGACCTTGCTGGCTGGGCTGGTCACTCCTACATTTTGCATGGGTTCAGTGGCATCTGTCCACAGCCAGCATTAAAGCTGGCCAGCCACCATCACCAGAGCAGGGAGGCTCCCAGAGGACAGGCTGAAACTGTTCACCTGGAAACAGAGATCATTTTTAGAGGAAAATCCTGTTGGCTTTTCAAAATGAGGTAGGTTTCTACCCACAATACTTCCCCAGCCAAATGCACTTGTGGTACCAAATGCATGACTAAAAGAAAAGGACCTGCTATGTCAAAATGGAGCTGTGGTTTTCAAAGCTAACAGGGAGAAAGCGCACTGTAAATACCTGGAGGAAGCGTAGGCACGGCTTATTAATAGTCTCACTTGCTGTGAGACTTTAGTCTGTATGACAAGGCTTTCACTGTCCTCCCGACGTCCTTGGATGCCCTGTTCCTGTACTGAACACTGGGCTCTTTAACCACGCAGCATATCCATCAGACCTGCCAACTTACAGATGGGGCACAGAAGATGGGTTAATACCACCTATATTAGTGCTTTAACTGCCAGAGCATCCACCATCCATCCTCAGCTGCTGGGGAGAAGCTCCTGTCCCTAGCACTGGTTCCTACACAGGATTCAGCCAGGGATGTTGATGGGACAAAGGAAGGCAAGAAAGGATGCCAAGTATGGTCATTCCCCAAAAATCTGAGTTGCAGGGGTTTAACGTTGCCTGAACTGCAAGTAGGAGTTAATTTCATTATCTTTACACCCTGACTCAACCACTAATTCCCCAAAGGCTGCACAAAGTACTCGCTTTCTGATTTCCCTCCTGTGCTGCTGCGTAGTGCTGCTGTCGAGACAGCTACTGAGTTTTCCATCAACAGCAGCTCCCTGATATTTAAAGCCATTATGAACTAGACCAGATTTATGCATCCCTGCATAGCAAAGCCTTGCCCAACACAGGGGGCCCATACCCTTTGACTTCTTTCCCTGTGAAAACCATAACAGAAAATTAACACCCTACTTAGGTGAAGGAACAGTAAGCAGTCCATACACTGCCACACTACGGGCATCTCAACACGGTCACACAAATTGTGTTTCTTTTTTTCAGATACAGGTTCTTCTATCAAACAGAGTATTAGACAGATGGGCTGGTTTTGGAGAAGGGTTGGCTATTTGCCTACAGAGGGAAGAAAAACAGTCTTCAAACAGCCCTCCTGCCCCAGCTGATGCTGGTAAGAGCTGGTCCCCATGCAGTAAGGGAGCTTCTCAGATTATCTTCACACTCATGTGCTATTTCAGCACTTTTCCTCCCAGCCTGTAGATTGCTCAGGGCCCAGAGATGCACAGACTCATGTTATTAAATGGCTATTTCTGTGGCTGTTTTTTATTTTTAGGAAATGTTACGGAAACATTCACCATTACTGCTTGGAGGTAATGGAAAAAAGAGGCGAACTCCGAATTCTGGGCGATGGGGACCTCAAGGCAGGCAGCCAAGCTGGGCTGGGATGTGGCCTGGCTTCCCTGCCGTGTTTACAATCTGTGCCCTGAGCGGGGACATGAATGAATCACGGCAGTGTCCTCAGCAGCCGTGGGGCGTGCAGTGGGCTGGCGCTCTCCCTCTCCAGCTGGCCATGCCGACCCCTCCCCGAGGGCTTAAAAGCATCCGTGTGCTGAACACAGGCTGGGATCAGCGGTGGCCAACCTAAACAGAACTGCACTCAAAGAGACTGTTGAACACCCAGGGATGCTGCCCTTACCCAAGATGCTGACCCAAAAATGACAGGCAGTGATGGACAGCCTCTCCTCTTCAGTTTGCAGGGACAAGGGACAGGAGGCAAGCTGCATTTCTTCCTCAGAATTGGGTTTTGTGGCTTCACACTGAATCCCTCCCCGCCTTCTTCAGCAGTAGATGTCTCTAAAGGGTCTGTTTGCTTCCTTGGAGCATTTGGAGCTGGATTCTCCCTTGCGGAGCCAGCTCTCGCCCCATCCCTAAAAAAAGATGGTTTAAATTAAAGGTTAAATCTGTGGTGCCAGCACTCTTTTTACCGTTCCTGAGTGCTTGTGATACAGGCCCAGCAGCAGGCAATACCTGGATCCATGCATTTGTTTCTTTGCCCCTGTGGGATGTCAGGTGGGCTGCAGAGAAGAATATCCTGAAAGAGAGAGAACAGGAATCACTCCAGGCTGAATAAACCCATTCTGCAATGTGTTCCTCTGACCTCTGCTCGCCAGTGGGGAAGCACTGGAGGGATGCGAGTGGGGCCATTATCAGCCCCGTGCCCTTCCATGCTTCCCTGGCATGGGGCTGGGCTGGCTCCATCACACCCCAATACACTGGTGCTGCTGGAACGGCTGGTGGATACGTTCCTCACCTGATTTTGGCAAAGTGGCCATGGCAACTCGCAAGACCTGGAACCAACTGTGTTGAGAAAGCCACAGATCTTGACCCAGCAGCCACATGACAGAAGCCATCGACGTACCTGGCAGTAAAGGAAACCCTCTTGAGCAGTGGCATCAAGGTCACAGAGGCCCAGCTAACTTCTTCCTACCTTCTGGCCACCTCAGACTAAAAGGGACACTTCCAAAGCAGAGATGGCAATGTCACCCATCAGGTGGTGACTGCAGTACTGTCACATGCGCTCTGCCCCTCACCCTGTGCAAAGGGACCCCACCTGGGCCATCGTCCCCTGCCTGCTGTGCCCAGCACAGGCAGTGAGGGGTTCCCCACCACCGCAGGAAGCCACTGTTCAGAAGTAACCACTGGTGTGAGACCCGGCTAAAGAGGGGAAGCACATCTATTAGGGAGGCTTTTACATTTTAGACACTTTGGTGAGACCCGGCTAAAGAGGGGAAGCACATCTTTTAGGGAGGCTTTTACATTTTAGACAAATTTTAAGTAACCCCAGTTTTGCCCTTTGCAGCAATCAGCTGAATATTTCTGCACTATCTGTCAAAAACCCAAGTGTGCCACCAACACACAAATGGATGGATGATAAAGAATAGAAACCACAGTTTTGGTCAAAGTCATCATGTTCCCTCACTGATTTTCCTGTGGATGGTATCATAATCCTGGATACCACATTACCTCACATACCCACAGCTGCAGCCATGTGAGCACAGATGCGAATTGTCAGCCAATGTGGCCTTTCTCCCAGGAGTTTGACAATATCGAAAAACTCCTGTCCTCTACGAGCTCATTTCCTGAAGCACCGGCTTTGACCTGCAAGTGGCTGTCGAACAGCCCATCTCCTCTGTGGCCCAGCCTGGGCAAGTGTGGGTTGCTGATGCCAGAGCAATGGGGGCCACAATCACCCCGTTGTGTGAAACGCAGTGCGCTGGGTGCAACACAGAGCCCTTGACCGCAAAGACCCGAGATGTGCTCAATAGGACTCTTGCGCTGTTCGCCCGCTAAGAGCCTTAACTTCTTACTGCATTATGCTGGGGTTTTAGGCAAAGCAGAGTTCCCAGCAGGGTGCTGGATAGATTTTCTTTCCCATGAAAAGAGACTTACACCTTCACATTTGTTCCTTGTCCCCAAATCCAATTCTTTTCAGGTAGAGGAGAGAGGCATTTGATGGATTATAATTAAGGAGGTGCTGTTCCGAGCAGGGGGGCAAGGGGACAGGAAGGTTAATGTAGGATGTGGCTGCATCGCCTAAGGAAGAGATGATCTAATGGGAAAAGCCTTGTGAGAGGAGAGCTTTCTGGCTCTTCTCTCCTGCGTTGCAGGTGGGTTTTACAGGCACACGCTGGTTGAGTTTAGTCTGGCTGGAGGTTGACACTGGTCCCCCTCTTACTGTGCAGTAATGCTCAGCAGCGGTGAGCGGCTACAGGAGGGGGGTATCTGCACTACTTGTGTCAGGAAGCCTCACTGCATCCAGGCATCAGGAAGGAGCTGCTGACAGGACCACAGAGCTCACATATATAATAAAAGATAACTATCTGCCAATATATAATATAACCCTTCCCAGGCCTCCAGCATCATTCACTCCAGAGCCCCAAAGCACTGTACAAACAGTAATTAAAACTTCCCGGCCCCCAGCTTTGCCAGCGGCGCTGAATTCATTTTCCAGTGTGGGAAAATAAGCCTTACATGATTACGAGCAACAACGCAATTTCAGCAGCAGAAGTTACTGGTGAAACACAAGCTGTAATTTGAACCCTGGTCCTTTACTTCTAACAGGAGGGTCTTCAAGACAAGAATGAGTGGTTGGTTTCTTCTCCATCCCACACACTACACCCATCTATCCCTGTAATGGGCAACACAAGACTAACCTGGTACATCTATTTGGTCCCAGTGGCTAAAATCCATTCTTCTCCATCCCACACACTACACCCATCTATCCCTGTAATGGGCAACACAAGACTAACCCGGTACATCTATTTGGTCCCACTTGCTTTGCAGAATTAAAGTCTGTGGGGAAGTGGAGAGTGCTGGAAGAACTAGGCAGATGACTGCAACAAGCCCCTTGTCCAGTTGCACTTCCTGGAGCATCTCTGCACCTCTATCCAGCACTATCAAGTTCAGAGCTCCTTGTGCCACCCTGCTGACCACAAGGCTGACTTCCTTCCCCAGAAATGTGTTACCAGAAACATCCTTCAAGAAGGAAACGGACACTGGAACATTAGAGCTTGGCTTAGTTCAGAGCTTGCCTGCTCACCAGAAACACTGACCCTTTTCCTTCTGGTTTTCTTAACACGGTAACAAGAGTCCAACACCAAAGCAGCCTGTCCCTCTCCTGGTTCCTGCCTGCTCCATGGTCTCCAAGAAACCTTGGAGAAAAATCATGCAGTGTTGGTTGTGGACAAAGCCCTTCTTTTCAGTATGAGCATGTAGGAGCTACTCAACATGTGCTGCTTCAGGTTCTAGCAGATGGACGGCAAAGAGCCCGTGTCAGGTTGCACCTGATGACAGGGTTTCACCTAGAACCCTTGGCCAACATCTCTCCCTTCCCATGGCTAATGTGCTGGTCGACACTGGGGACCTGCACAGCGCGTGGTCCCTTCCCTTCCCATCTACCCCACCATCACCTTGATGGTTGGCCAGCCAGGCTGCTGCTCTAACATCTTAGAGATTCCTTATGGACTCTTTGGGAGGAAAAAGCTATTTAAATGCAAAATGACATTTCTGCCTCAAGGAAACTGGGTACCACTCTGCCACCACTGCCAAGCCTGGATCCCCAACCTCCAGTGGGACTCTTCCAGGGCAGACACTGGGCTGTCTGGAAACCCCAGAGAGGCTACAGGGGACCTCGTCGCAGAGGGGAAGGGTCCAGACAACCAGAAAGTCCAGCCTCCCCCCCAACTGTTGGGCTGCTCCCAGATGCATACCAGCACCACCTGCGTCCACTCACTCTGGGGAGTGCTCCTGTGGTCTCCCAGAGCTGGGGAAGTGCTAACAGAGCCAGCAGTGCTGCAGGGAGGGTTAATTTAGTTATTTGCAATGGATTTTCCATACCTGTCAGTATTTCCAGCCCTGAGTCGAGAGAGAGACAAAGACTTTGCTGGGAGAAGGGCTTTGGTAAAGCCTGTGGTTTTGCAGTTTAGCTCCAGAGAGGGCTGGGGACTCGCTTCACTTCTCTCGTCATCCCTGCAGGCCGACCCCCAAGGAGAATGGGGATCCAGCTTGGCTTGCTGTGCTTCACATCTGAAAGGGATGGCCTTCTGTGAAGGGAAAGAGAGACCTGGAAATCTGCTGCTTCCATTATGCTTTCTTTGGGGCTAAATTAGTTGTTCGAAATCAATGCAACCATGAAGAAAGCAGCCTGCGGGACTCTATCCAGAGAGCCTAACTCCTGTTAAAGATCTAGGAAGAGCTGGGAGAGAAGTACCCACATGGCAACAAGGAGTGTTCCCTGTGGATGATGTGATTTCCAATGAACGTCTCTATGGAGGGGGTTTTCCACTTGCCCAGCAGGCTCTGGGGAGGCCAGGCAGGCAAAGCAGAGAGGGGACTACCCTGCACCAGCAGTTGCACAGTCCCCACTCCATCACCTTTCTAGGACTGGAAATGTTTTCTTTTCACTCCAAGACAAAATGATGCCAAGCTACAAATATCAAAATCCTTCAGGTCAAAGCCATATTCTTTTTCTATTCCTCCTCTGGCCTGAAAGGTGATTTGCCAGCTCGAGATGCACTATCTGGGCAATTACCGTAAGAGAGCCATCTGTGATGCTCCCAGCAAGACCCTGCTGCCAGGCACAGCTGTGCCAGCACAGCCCTGCCACCGACTTCAGCTCATTTATAGCAGTGGAGCTGGTGGACAGAAACTGGGCTGAGCTGGAGCTGGCAGGGCATGAGGTTTCTGCTTTGATGGCACCCCCTGTTTCTGACTTGCAAAGGCACTAGAATTGTGACAAAGCCACGGGGAAGCAGGAGCGTTGCTCCAATAAAGCTGGTTTCATGAGAAATGGCTTCCCAGACAGCAGCAGAAGATGGAGGGGAGCCCACCCTCACCCAGAAACACGTATCTGAAGGCTATTTCTGCCAGGAGAGAAGGTAGTACCAGGCTGAACAAGAGCATTTGTCTGAACTAATAGGCCATGGAGATGTTGGAAGAAAGTTTCCTTTGGAGTCTCTGCTTTCACTTACCATCCATCTGTGACAGCTCTTTCCTCCTCTTGGCACACGGTTCTCATCCCTCAGCTGACATCCCATGGCAGAAAACACTAATCACATCCTCCTCCTAAGACGAGACACAGGGGAAAGAGGCTTAGCAGGAGACAAAGAACCTCATGGCCTGGGGTTCCCCCCAAAAAATCCCTGTGGTTCTTGATTCCTGAGCTGGGACAAAGTGGGCATCAAGGTTTTAGCAGTTGTTGGTTAGAAAATAACCGTGAGAAAGGAATAAACCAATTAATTGCTGACCCACTGACAGCCAACACTTCTCCCCCCCACACAATAAAACCTGTCTCCATGGCTCAAGCAGATTTAGGGTGGCTGCAAAGAGCCTAGAGGAAGAAAAAAACCCTTTCCCACTCCAGCTAATAATATTTCCAGATAATCTGTTTGAGGCAGCACCCTCTGCGAACTGGGAAAGCCTTTAAGAGCTGTTAACACCTTTATTCAGACTTCCTCATCCTCCCCCAGACAAGCTGTGATTAATTATCCAATCTGCCCCAATCCCCCTGGGAAACAGCGCCTGGTCCAGGCATTTGCCCGAGGATTTGCAGGGTCCCTCTGCGAGAGCAGCTCCTGCTCTCACTGTTGGCTCCAGACAAGCAGGAAAGGGCCAACGGGGAATAAACTGCTTCCAATTTTGCCTTTAGGTCGGCAGGGGTTGTGGGTGGTAGGAGGGGAGGTTAATGCAGGATCTAGGCAATGTTCATGGCTTTTTCTTTTGCTGGTGTCTGCAGGCAGCACCATACGGGACTGTCCCAGGAAGCCCACCTCTGGGAATTTGCCACTGGAAGCACAGCCCCTTTGGTTCCCACCTGGATTTTCACAGCCCTTCCAGCTTGGCCGCTCTCTGACTCAGCTTGCTCTGATGATACTTCCTTTCCTACCATTTCCTAGTCCTAGCAGAGGCACTGGGGATGGAGAACGCAGGGAGGAAAGGGGAATTACAGCCTCTCAGGTTGCTGCAGTAGCTGGGACACTGTGCCCAAGAGGCGCCCCTGTGTAGACTATTGCAGACCAATGCAGCTCATAAAACTTCTCTTGTACATAAGCTGTCCCACCTGTGCTACCTTTATCCATCAGATCTCAGGCTCTTTCACATCACAGGGTAATGATCCCTGTCCCTAGGGCTGCACACAGCTCCTCCTGGCCATGCAAAGGGAGGAGATGAGCTGCTCCAAGGTCACAGTATCACCAAGCAATTTACTGAACCCAACAGTGGCAAATTCCCTTCATACCCAAATGCCAATCTCTGCAGCATTACAGATGACACTAAATCCATGTCTGTCCACCACAGCCCTTCATCCATGGTAGCTGCAGCTCTCGCTGTGTAAGTATTAACATGTTAATGCCCACTCTGCCCCAATCCCCTTTGCTATGGCAGGGTGGAAGTGTGGGTCTTCTGGGGAGACTGTGGCAGCAGCATGCACGTGTGTTATGATTTTTATCACTATGCAGAGCCCCTAGAAATCCTGCATCTTCAGGGAAGACCTGCATCTCCCCATCACACCCACAAGACCTACCTGTGCACACACTGAGAGGGTGTGAGTGAGGGGTGAACCACGGGGCTGGCATGTCCATGTTGCCCAGCCACAGAGAACCTATGAGTTAACTACCATGGCACCCTTCCTTTCAGGTCTGGAACTGAGGTTTCCCGACACTTGGAGGAGCTCCTTTCCATTAAACCTTCCCCCTTTGCCACCCAGGGCTGCCCAAGAACTCACCCCTGTGCACTGTATGCTGTCTGCTGGTCTATTTACATCTACCAAGGGCAAGACCTCAGAGACATCCTCGTGTCTCACCATGAAGAAGTATCTGCCTTCACCGTTTTCTACCAGCCACCCCTAGAAACCTTCAGCCAGGAAATAAAAGTAGGGAGCATAGTAGCAGCTTGGGGGTCCTGGTAGGTTTTGCAAATGAAAACCATTGTCCTCTCACTGTCCTCCTCTCCTTATAACCGGAACAATGTGCGTAGGGCATTTTCAAACAAAACAACTTTAGATTCATCATCTCGTGTGCTCTTTGAAAAGGTGCCAAAGAAAGAATGAGGAGAAAGAGCCAACATGTCTACCAGATGGATGCCAGCTCCCCTGGGACGCTTCACAGCCTCAGGTGTTGGTTACCATCACACCTACACACTCTGCTTCGTGGGCTGGGCTTGGTTTCAGTACTCTCTTTATTTTTAGCCACACTTTCAATAAAGGGGAAGAAACCACCTCTTAATTTCTGCAGCTTTCTGAGGCCCTTGAGAAAGAGAGAGCTGAGGAGCAAGAAGGCAGCTGGGATGGCCACAGCCCTTCTCCCTGCTGAAGGCTCCAGCCAGCCCAAGAGTTATCTCTGCCTCTCTTCCAGTCCACATTCAGAAACAACAGTCATCAAATTGGCTTGACCAGGTGCTGGGGAAGTTCCTGGGAGCACAAAATGCCCACAGCTTGCAGATCTGTTTTGCCAGGTCTTCTCCAGGTCAGGGAGCAAGTGTAACAGTCAGGTTCCTTCTCCAGGAAGGAAAGCAAAAGGGTTCCTGGCTCTGCCAACAGTGCCTGCTGCTGCTAACTGCCTGGTGGAGATAATATATTGAGAAAATAATGACCAGAGGGAATCACTGTGGGGTTTTGGCCTTTGGCATGTGAGTGGTGAGCATACAGCTCCATGGCGATCGAGGGACCACCAACGTACCGGGCTGGGTCTCAAGTCAAAAGAGAAGGTTCTGACCAAACCCATGCACTTCCTCCTAAAGGAGGCACTTTGGAGAGGGGGCCTCTGGTGCAGAACAATGGTTCATGCTGGCTGTCCATCCCCACCTGGACTGAGGCATTCAAGATCTGAAGGCTGGTACTGCGTTGGCCCTGAAGATGCTTGGGCAGCTGCCCCAACTGACCACTCTCAATGCGTTTCTGGGAACCTGCGTCTCCAAGAACCTGCGAGCAGCCACAAGGGTCTGCAAGTCACCTGTCTCCATTGAGGGCTGTGATGAAGAGCTGCACAGTGACAAGCTCCAGTGTGGAACAGGGCCAGGCCCTGGCTCTGCCCATGGTGTGGGCACAGGTGTTACTCCTTCTGCATGTTACTCCTCCTGCAGCCGTCCTGCTGGCAATGTGCGGCGCGGATCCAGCAATGCCCAGCCCAGCTATTTCAGCAGAGACAGCATGTTTTTATGTGGGTCTAGCCACTATTTGGATAGGAGACATGAGGAAAAACCAGGTGCTGCAGGAAGTGGTTTGGGTGATTTAGTAGGTGGCATCTTCCCGCCAAGTTAGCAGCACACTGACACCCCTCAGCAGGGAGTTCAGGGCTTTGTGCTGCTGCAGGTGTTGCTATTTTAATGACATCCCAAGCTTACTGCTTGTGGTCACCCAAGATCCCACTTCTTGCAAGAGCAGAGGTGTTAGGTCCAGTGTCCTGAGTAGGCTCCAGTCTTCAGCAATTTCACTCTGCTGAGCCAAGAGCTGCAAGAATTTCCGCTGGACACATTATTTTTCACTCCCTTTTCCCACTATGACAACTGGTTTTTGAGGTGCCAGAAAACAGCATTTACAGAGGAATATCAAATACAAATGCTTCCCATTGCCTTGAAAGATCTTTTCTTCTTTTGCTCCATACTCTCTCTCTAAGGCCCACCAACCCTAGTGTCTGCCTCACCTTGCTTGTGTAATTTCCCTGCTCAACAGTTGGCTTTGCTCTCCTCCAACTCACTGTGGGTTGTGAAGGTCTCCACCATCCCTAGTTTGGCTGAATTAGTGCATCAGGCCAGACCCTATCTGCCCTGCTCTCCATCACCACCCAGGAAGGTACCAACCGCACCTTGGTCCTTTGCAGGAGATTGCAGCTGCTTCCAGAAAAGAAATAATCGATTATGAGACCAACATTAATGAAATATGAGATTGTGACTTGGGACAGACTAAAGCCATAGAAAGCATTTTAAATAATTCACCACGCTGAAAGTAAAGCATATTAGTGGGAAAGATATTCAGCTCCTTTCACAGTGGCATTAACTTCTGTGTAACCAGAGCTGATGCTGTGAGCTGACAGCAAAATGAGACTGCTGCTCGGTAGGAAATTATTGCATTTCAAAACGTATTTGAAAAATCAATGTTTTCCCCCCAGCCCAAAAAATTATTTGAAAGCATTAAAATATTTTGTTTTGATAGTATCTTGTACGAGAAAATGAAATCCAAAATTAAACAAAAGCACAAAATGCTGAAACAAATCACAAACCCCAGAGACGCATGCTGGCAAAACATTCAGCCAAATCACTGCCTTCTGCAAAAATGCTTCTATTTTGGCAAACCCACGTTTTTTCAGGGGCAGACTGATCCACCAGAGACTTCTGAACCCACAGTAAGCAGCAATGGAGGCTGAGGAGAGACACTGCGTGGGAGGCCAACGTTTAAAATGTCACCGTTTTGTTTTTCACTTGAAATCACTCCAAGGGCCGCAGGGAAGATGTTCCAGAGGAAGAATTGTGCTTTGGCTGTCTGGGAAAGTCACCGTCAGCACCTGGGCAGAGTGTGGGGTTACCCAGAAAACCCTCACTCTTTCACAAATGCCCCTGGAAGGGTGACCGTCACCTGGACAATTATTTTAACTTTATCTCAGCATATTTATATTGGTTAAGCTAAACTTAGCTCAAGAGGTTGTTGAGGATTTTTTGCTGGGACACACATTTCAGCTACTCGCAATGCCAGGGTGGCAGCAGGAAGGGACTGTCACTTCCAGGCAAGGGTCATCTTCTTTATCTTCATTATTCATATCTTCCTTATGGAGGCAGGTCTTTAGAGAGGAAAAGTGTTTCTTTGGGGTTGGTGGACAAGAGTGAATGAACGATGCACAAATAGCATAAGTTGGGTAGCTGTGACCCTATGCAACTCACATGCAGGTACACTGTAGGGCTAGATTACAGTCATGGGTCCACCCCAGCAATGTCTTCTCTGAGATGGCAGAGCCTTTCCAGCCTCCTTTGGAGACCACTTCAGTTTCTGAACATCTACAGACACCTGTGCAACAACAGCCTCATAGAAAATTCAGACTGAGTTCCCTCGCTTGCTGTTGAAATCATTGCAGAAATCC